CCCCCCCCCCCCCCCCCCCCCCCCCCCCCCCCCCCGCCCCCCCCCCCCCCCCCCCCCCCCCCCCCCCCCCCCCCCCCCCCCGGCCCCCCCCCCCCCCCCCCCCCCACCCTCACTCAATCGCAGCCGTCTTGCAGGTGGCCAATCATTTTGCTGACCGGATACAGACACACCCCTATAGGCGTCACACTCCATACCGTCTGTCCAGACTTACACCAAGGACTGGAGAGCTCGACCAGTCGACGCGCCGCCCCGTGCCGAGCTGGTCTTCTCTACGTATCGTACTAGGAACTCTAGCTTCTAATATTGAGGGCCAGAATTCTGAATCATCCCTCTGTCACTTCACTTTGTCTATTCAAGATTTTGCAGGCAATCGAAACGAGCATCGTCCTCTCAGACAGTCACTACCCGACAACGCAAAGTTTGACCAGACGGCAAAGACAGAAGGTTAAAGGCGTTTCTGTCCTTGCGTGGTCACCTGAACGGTACGTTTCGAGACATATCTCTCCCTCTTGTTTGTCATCCAGTCCTTCCTTCGCTTCCGGGCTTGTCAGCCACGCACATTCCGCCACTGCTCCTTGTCATCACTCCATTGCTAGTGCTGGCCATCCTACTTCACATTCAAATCCAATGTTCTCGGAGTTCACCCAGCCAAGTCTACGCCACAGCGAAAGACGCGGCCCAGCCATGTACCGAGACTATCACAATGGTCACGCGGCGTATTACTGCTCGTCATCATTACACGCACTTGGTTGACAGGCTCCTCGACCATAGCTGGGTCAGCCCCCTCCAGTTTCTGAGCTCCTGTCCCCCACACACACCCTATGTTCCTGGTGGTCACCTCGTCTCGCCCTTGCGTCCAATGGGTCCCGCCGTATAGTTCAGCAGGCAAGTCGCCAAGCTGCACTGCATCTTGGGCCGCGTGCTGCAAACCCATTTCGTACCTGCACACCGGCCGCTGGTCCGCCATCTGGACGGTGTAAGAATCAGACGTCGCCGGCTGCCGGTCATGATCTGCGCGGGATATCTGCCGCTGATGATACATGCGCAAGTAACCCACCTGGTTCCCGGATGATCAGGATTACTTGATGGTGCCAGCATCATGGCAGAGAGAAGAAGCAAATCTATCAATCGGGGTTCTTGGATCAAACTGTTGAAAGCCATGCAAACTTATTCAAGAATGCCCGGGAACCCCCCTCCCTCTCGTCTACAGTGCTCAGTTCTCCTCAAGAACCAAGCCCCACACGCGGCAGTTTCCCAATCCCTTGCTGCTCGTATACATCACAAGCTCAGGCAGGACCCCTCAAGGCAGGGAGATTCTATCTTGCATACTCCTCGCCAGCCTCTAGCAGAAATGCCCGCGAATGTCTCTGATCCGACCTCCACTTAGTCGAGCCCTGACATAGCCCGAGACTTCTGACCATCCTTGACTCGGATCTTTATTACCCTCTGAGCTATCCTCTGGATTGACTCTCCCTTCACTTTGACGCACACTACTGCCACACGATAGCCTCTGGATTTGGCGTGGATATTTTGGCAATCGCGCTTGCGCAGGAACTGATACTTGTTCTACTGGAATAGGTCTTTACTAGCCCAACAAGGCCAAGCCAGTGTTCCAACCCCACAGTCCCCAAGGCAAGGACGAGTATTTTGCATGAAAGTTGCATCCCTGGAGATTACAACTAGGCGCAACCGGTATCAGCCTTGCAGAAGGTGAGTTTGGCCATTCCCGTGTCCCCTGCCGTCCGCAGGAACGAGTCCTCCTTTCGAACGTGGTCCACACCCTCAAGGCGGCTTAAAAGTACTTCGACGACGCTGACATTCTTAACATCAGCATCTTCTGTTATCAACAGCAGCAGCAGCATTCGCCTCAAGCCCCACCCCTTTAGACGCGCGGAGACCGCCCGTCGAACGCCCCAGACATTCCAGCTGGGCTGATTCAGAACCATCAAAGGGCACAGGTGCACTTTCTTCTGTGGGATAACGATCGTCCGGGAATGTGCCTGTCTCTTGTCAGAACTCGGTCGGACCAGTGAGAGCTCGTGGCTGTGTTTACTTGTTTCAGTCGACCTGCTGTCGAGGATCGGAAGACGCAAACCAGGGCCCAGTTTGACAACCTACGACAGAACTCTCTGCGCAAGTTGAACAGCAACAAATCTCCGGGCACGTAGAGACGCGCCAGATTGGAATTGCGCTGTCTCACTGATTCGGGAGTCGTCGAGGTCTTGAGCCTGGCTTAAACAGCGCGTGGCGACCGCTCTCTGTCCCAGACAGTGGCTTGCATTCTTAACCTCTTCCCTTCCCCATCAAAACAGCAAAGCATCCAGGCGTCACCCTTTCACTCAGCGTGGATGTCGTCCGTCAAGTTCCAGTCACCGTCTTACAAGCTATTCGAGGTGAGTCGTTCCTTAGACTCTGGGTCAACACACTCTTATCCTCTTTACAACACTTGTCCACCAGCTGGAACAGTTTGAGCGCCGAGACTCGTCAACTGTTTCGCATCAAGCAGAATATTCTGTGACTAACCTCTCTGTGATACAGCCGGAGTATCATCCACAAAGGCCTATTATCGTTGGTTTGGACGACACGCTCGAGTCGCCAAACACGATTGCGCTTCGCTTGGAGGAAGCGCGGCGAGGATCCCTTGGTGAAGATTCTTCTTCCAGACTCTTCGAGATGGTGACATACAGTAAGACGGCGCCCTTGCCGTCGATGAATGGTAAGTCAGACCATGGTCACACGGTAGAGGACGTTCGGCTGACAGTTCAAGGCTACGATCCTATGAGGTTCCATCAGAACACATACGAGCAGTATCAACCGCAATCATACCCGGCACCAGCGCAGAATGACAAGTTCGCGCAGCTTAACCAGCAAGCCTTTGCATCCAACAATGCTGTGGCCCCGCCTGTGTCTCCATACATGCCTCCGGGCCCGTCGGTGGTTTCGTGCCATCCCACCACCGGGACAGAGGGCACCAGGGTCTTCCTCAAGATATCGTCACACTATGACATTTACTCCATCTCAGCGACGCCATATTTCCACCTCCAATTTGGCAACGAAAAGTGTGCCCTGCGGGACGTGACCAACCACCCCCAGAGCGGCAATGGCAGCTACGTATACTCGTGCAACGTCGAGGCCCCTCAGTCCGTCGTCACGGGTTGTGATGGCAGCAATGTGCCACTGTCACTCGTAATCGAGGCGGCTCCAGGCGAAGAGATCTCGAGGACGGCTGCTGGGTCTTTTCAGTATGCTCAGGGGCCAGGAGATGACATCACGCGGACTGACAAGCTGCCCAAGCTCGACCACGCACCACATGCCCCTACCGCGGATGACCATGAGAGCGTGTCGCCCAACATGGACCAGCCGCCTGCGTTATCCTCTGTCGTGCCTACAAATAACTACGATGCGCCTCAAGAACAGTCTCAGTACTCTAGTGAGCCATATGCCCAAAACGCCGAAGACATGATTAGCACCTACAGGAGCTCGACATATGTCGAGCCCCCCTACAACCGTCGCTCTGCGCACGGATGGACCAACTTTCCCGGGACGCTTGGAAGCTCAGGGCGCAGCCCTATGCTCTCACACCACCAGAGCATGACCGGGCGGCCGAGTCTGGCGCCTCTGACCAATGGCAGTGGCCAACCGGAGCTGATTCGCACCAGCACCATCAATCCCAACTCGACAGGCAACTCCTACAGTCAGATGACGCCAGGTGCACCCAAGGCTGTCCTCAAGATCAACGGCAACATTAACTCGATGGCTGAGAATTGGACACCTGAAGAATGGGGCAACCGACGTCGCATCGTCATGTTCCGCCGGAAACAAGTTGGCAACACGCTGAACACGACATTCCAACCCGTCCCAGTCAACGAGCGCCCACAGAACAGCATCTGCATATCCTGCATCTACTGGGCTGAGAAAAAGGAATGCTTTGTGACATCTGTCGACACCATCTACCTCCTTGAGCAGCTCCTCACCGGACCCAAGAAGTTCTCGGTGGAAGAGAAGAACAGGATCCGACGTAACCTGGAAGGATATGCCCCCCACACAGTTTCCAAGGGCAAGGCGGAGAGCCAGGAGTTCTTCAAACTCATCATGGCCTTTGGCAACCCCAAGCCCCGCAACATCGAGAAGGATGTCAAGGTTTTCAACTGGAAGAACCTTGAGGCGTCGCTCAAGAAGATTATCGGCAAGTACAGCGCGAGACCCGCCGGTGGCGCCTCGCAACTGCCTTCAAGCATGATGGCGCCCACACCCTATGCCACCCTACCGACGCCTCCTGGTCAGGCGCTCTCTCATCATGGGGATCACCAGCAACAGCAACAGCAGCAACAGCCGCAGCAACAACACAGCCAGTACCCCTTGCACTCCAGTCATCACGACCTTCCCTCGCCACGATCACTCTCGGGGTCTGGGCCGTCTTGGGCTCCCTACACTGCCGCGCCCTCCTATCAGCCCCCCCTGACAAGAACGCTCAGTCCTCATCTGCGTCAACCGAGCCCCCAGCAACCGCCACACATCCGGATCAACACCAGCAACTCTCTACCCTCCGCGTCGACGTATGACTCGAGGTCCATCACAGCAGGTGGCTACGGGACGACCGGCCTGCACACCCCCATCAGTCAACACCCGTCGAATGCAACGCCGCCCAGATGGGACCAGGCGCCCGCAAACTACGCCGATGGGTACTCGGGCATGGGACAATCTCACCTCCAGCATCCTCACCATAGCCAGAACCACACCCACAACCACATCCACCATGCGCAGCAACAGGTTTATGGCACTGGACCACCAGCTTACCCAGCCGATGGACCGCCGCGCGCCTGAGTCTGATCATGAGCTTGGGACGCCATCCGCCAGCCTCGCTCCGCTAGCGCGTGGCTGCTGTCCATCAGGTCATTCACCGCCTCGGCGAGTTATCCCGTGTTCCCAAAGGCAAGGCCAAGGAAACGCGTCTACTACATCAGATTGGGCAGCCTCGTGAGCACTCAAGAGTCGTCAAGGATCATCATGCGGGGAGGTCAGGTGGTGCCTTGCGCACGCCAATCAACCACGCTAGCCTTACACCACCATGTCCTCGGCCCCGCCAACCACACCATCGGGATTCGGGAAGAAAGCGTGATGGGCGAGAGAGCATGCTGCAAGGCGGAGGAGGCTTTGATTAAAGGTTGTCGGCGCGTCACGTCCCTGCCTCCCTCGCTTCCGTGTGGTCGTTGGCCCGGGCGGTCATTCTTCGCCAGCCAGCATGGGCGTGTGAGCAGTACTCGACGATCTCCGTTTGAACTCCAATGCCGTCATGACTGGGTCGTCTGCGAACTCGAATATGCATGCGGCCCTCTTCTTGGCGTGCAGAATCTTGCACGCAAGGCTGTCATGGGATTCACAGTTACGTCGCGTTGGGGGTTCATGATCTGATCACCATCCCTTGACAACACTTTCCAGTTTGCTATCATGGAGCTTGTCTCGGTACTTGGTTGCTCCGCAAGTCGGAGTTTATTTCTTCTTTCTTTACGCTGACGTCGCGGGGCATTTGGTACGTGGCTGACAAGGAGGAGGACAATCGCGATTAGATGGCGTGTTTTCCAGGCCTAGATGTTTGGTTTAGAGAAGCGGGTTTGCTTTTTCACTTTCCTTTATTTTTCGGGATTTGATCTATTTCTTTTCGGGATTTGGGCACAGGAACGCAAGTATATATACCCCCTTGATGGCATGGTTATGCGGCATGGGCATGAGGTGGACGATATGGCTACGGTTCAGTATTGATACAGGACTAATTATAATGCATCACGGTATTTAATTTGATTGCTTGGGCGCCATAGATATCGAAAGAAGATTTTCTTTATAATGTATTGGTTTCCTAAGGACAACCTACACGTATTTGACAAGAAGCTGGTCAAAATGTGCAACAGCGTCTATAGAATGCGCCAACACCCGAAAAGCTGAGAAATACAACACCGCAGATCTTCAGTTATACAAGGACCTTGAGCATGTGTTTGTCTACCATGTGTGCAGGACGTACAAATGATATGTGTAAGACGTTAGTGGTGCAGGGTAAGCCTGTAGTAGACGACGTGCAATATCAAGGCCCCAGAGATGGCGAACACTTTGTGATCACCGAGGCTTAGTGATGTTCATTGTCAAAAGGACCGGAGGTGTGATATTCCAGAAAAATCAGAGGTTCTCAAGATTTCATCTTGACCAAGACGAGACGCACACCAAGAGAAAGGCCATCACGATGGAACCCTGTTCCTCAAATTATGTATTCATATCTAACAACTGAAGCGTCTGCACACAGCTATGACCCTCACACAAGTATTTAGCTCCTAACGCCCGACCAGAACCTATCGTCAGGGACCGGTGCCTTATCGAGCTTGAAGTGGCCCGGCTGGAGTTTCTGGAAGACAGCGGTGGGATCGTAAAACTTGGCGATGCTCTTGAGCTTGTCGACGTTGGCTGGGCCGTAGTTGGCAATGACGTCCTCGTATAGGCTGGCGTAGTTCATGTAGATATAGTCGTTCTGCTTGCCGAGCGTCGTGGCCTCGGACTCGATGCGAGTCAAAAAGTTGGAGATCCAGCTGTACACGCGCTCGTCGTCCTCGTCATTGGACCACCAGCAGGCGATATGGATCAGGTACAGGGCCCCGTCAGCTAGGTCGATACCTAGCGGGTTGCCGCCGTGGGCGCTCATGTGCTTGATCTGCTCGGTCGTGATGCCCTGGAGGAGAAGGACGGGGTTGTCGCCCTCGACGTCGGCGAGCTTGGGCTGCTCTTCGAAGAAGACGTCGCGGGCCTTGACGGCTATTTCGGAGCCGGCCTTGACGGTGAGGCCGTAGTACAGCTCGCGGAAACCGGACGGCTTCGACACGTCCTGGGCTTGGGCGTACGCGAGGAGGGACCGCTCCTGTGTGGAGTCGGCAATGGCTGTCAGGTTCTCTTAGGGCTTCCAGATGTCGGCGTCGGCGCCCTCGGGGTGGCGTACCAGAATTCGCTGGCGGCGAGCTTCATGCCGCCTTGAGCGAGCCAGGCGATCCAGGTGCCGGCGTTGTTGTAATCGGGGGTGTTGGCACTGGTCTGGACAAAGGCCTCGGTGAGGTCGGCGAAGTCGTTCTCGAGATACGTCTTGGTTCCACCCCACATCATGCCACCAGGGAGAGGTATGGCCCGGAAGGTGAAGGCGGTGACGATGCCAAAGTTGTTGCCGCCGCCACGGAGGGCCCAGTACAGGGAAGGGTTCGAGTTCTCAGTGGCGTTGATGATGTACCCGGCAGCGGTGACGACCTCGTAGGTGGGGACATTGTCGCAAGCCCAGCCGTATTTGTTGAAGAAGAAGGAGATGCCGCCGCCGCGGGTCAGACCACCCGTACCGACCTTGCCGACACGACCGCCGGTCACGGTGATCTCGTCTTTCTCCAGCGTCTCGTAGACCTGGCCCCAGGTGCTTCCGGGCTGGATCTTGACCTTTTGCTTGTCGAACGACACGGTGACAACCTGCATCTTCTCAAAGGTGACGCTGATGCCGCCATCAATGTTGGATGCACCGGCAAAGGCGGCGTGACCACCGCTCTTGACGGTAAAGAGGCACTGCGTCAGTCGCGACAGCAGCACGACTATGGAAACGCCCCCGGCCTTGGAGGGCTTGAAGATGCACTGGGGGTTGACATCAGCCTGGATCTCGGACCAGAAACCGCCGGTGAACTGGTCATAGGCATCGTCGTTCTCGGTGACGACAGAATCGCGCCCGAAGATGGCACTCAGCGATAAACACTGCCAGGCGGGTAAGCCCTCTTCATACTGTCATCACCAAATAAGGTCGATCTCAACATACAGCAGCAAGGCAGGCATACTGCTCAAGAGAGCGTGTCGACAGAGAGGATGCCGGTAGATCCCTCACCTGCACGCCCAGATCCTCGAGCTCTTGGGTCGCATTGACTCACGCAGGCTCGAAACTCTCGGGCTACGACAGAGCTGCCGCCTGGGCGCCTCCCAGAACAGAAGCAAAGAACAGTGCCACCATCTTCATGGCGACTGATTTGTGGATTGACGAAAAAGGAATAGAAGCAGATGTGAAACGCAAAGGGGGTGAACCTTGCCTTTTGCTTCTCCTTCTTCTTTTACTTCTCTTGTCTTTTGCCACACAGGCGATCTCGGCTGAGTTGAGAACGAGTGACTGCCCAGGCGCGAGAGTGATAGTTGAAGTGGGGAGGAAAACAAAAAGTGTGGCGAAGACGGTTCGAATTATTTGAAGACATTGCAGTTCTCGTGCGGCCAAGGTACGTACGTACGGGGATTCAGTATGGACAGTGCCTCGGGGATTGATCGCGGTTGGCCTTGCAGCCCACGCGAGGAAACTGGGGGATCGGATCTCGGACAGTTGGCACAGCCCGAAGTGGGCGGCCGCCTTGACCTAAAGAACGAGTTCCGACCCCCTGAAGCTGTTGTTGATTCATTATTCTTCATAATTACAGCTCATCAAGAGGAGGAAGAAAGCACCAGTGAAATGGCAACGCGGCTGGCAGAGATTGGGTGTGGACCCTCCTCATGCCAGTCTGCGCGAGGCCAGACTGGAAGGAGAAGCTTGCAAGGGCCAGGAAATGCTCGTGGCCCAGAGTCAACAGACAATTATATGCACAAGGTCCAGACAACGAAAGAGTGACACAGGATCGTCTGCGCCGTCCTCTGTATAGCTGTGAGTGCCTTCGTCAATGGTCGTCAATGCCAACGCATCAACCCCCACGAACCGGCAACAGTCGAAAAGCCGACTTCCACCACCTTCCTCTCGGATATCCTCTCACCATGCATATTTAATTACAACTGCAGTCTCTCTATACGCCTTTCCAGATCCATGGCTCAAGCAAGGCACATTCATGGGCCAAGACTGAGACCCCTGGTGGCAACTTGCATCCGGGATATGTTCCACCGCAGACTAGGCCACTTGGGAAGCAACACTATCCTTCTTACGAATATAGAGGCGGCATGATGGCCCTGCCTTGCAAGTTACCATCATTAACGAATAATGCATCCTCAAGGTCATTCGCATTGCTTGCCTATCAGCGAAACGCTCCCGGACCTTGTCGATCCCCCGGATGAGCTGTCCGACATCCCAAGGCGTCTGTTCCGCGATCCAAATCTCGACGCAAACTGGAAATGGGCTCGAATAAAGAGTGTTCTGCAGGAGAGGCTCCAAAAGTCTACTGGACACTATGGCCGCAGTATCGAGACTTGCAGATGAAGCCAGCCAGCGAGAGAGCCTGGATGACTCCTTCGCAGCAGCAGGACCAGCCTTTGTCACCAAAATCACAGCGTGGGATGTAGGTACTTAGAGGTATTTGTACATGTGCCTCAGACAGGGACTAAAGGACTGCGTCGTGTCTGTCTGCGGCACGAAATCTGCAACAGCAGAGCAGAAGTCTACTCACAGCGTATGTCTCATCGCTCCACGATCAAGCATGTGGACGTTACAGCCGTGCTTTGAATTCTTCAACACCCCTGCCCGCCGGGGCCTAGCTACAGAATGGGATCTCACACTTGCCCACAAGTGATTCAACCTGGGATGCTTGAGCGTTGTATCGCGCGATCCTGCGAGGGCGTTTCGACAGCCAGGCTGTGTCTGTCGTGTAATAATTGCCTGCCTAATATCACGGCACAAGATGACGAGCAGAACAAGAAATCGAGTCCTAAACCGCCGCGCGCTGATCAGTCTCCTTTAACAATTTCAGCACATTCTCCCCTCGACCCCCTCATACTGAGTTTGTTTTTGAGTGTTCGGCACGGCGCCTAGCGATTAGCTCCCGTGCGTGCCGGGCACTTCGCGAGTCATTCCTTTCGTTCTCCGAGTTTCCAACTTTCGTATCCACCGTCTAGCCAGCCAGCCAGCCAGCCTGCCAGCCATTACCATGGCGGCGGGCTTGGACAACACGAAGCTCATGGTGACGGGCATCATCATGAGCGTCCTCGCGTCCCTCATCTTCTTCACCCACGTCTATCTCGCCGTCATCCGAAAGCGCACCTTTTCGTGGGAAGATGGGTGGCTGACGGCAGCTTGGTTGGTCTTTATTGCGGTCACCAGTCTATACCTCAACGCTGGGCCCATCATATTCCGATTGCAAGATGTCTCCGAGGGCAAAATCGAACCGTACGCGACAGTCATGGACGATTCCCTGGTTGTGCAAAAGGCTTTCTTTGTCGTCCCCTCTGTTCTTTGGATTTGCTTGTGGCTCATCAAGGCGTCGTTGCTCTGCTTGTACAAGCGCTTGATGGCTGGTTTGAAGACGTACATCATTTTCTGGTGGATTGTTGTCTTCATCTGCGTTGTGGTAGGCTTCCGCAGAGTGCCATGTGCCCCTGTGCAAACACGTCCATGCCAACTGCCTTGGTCAGACTCTCGCCCTTGCTATTACCTCTTCCATGTTGTCTTGCTCGAGCATGACCGCCTGGTTCACGTCTGGGGCCTGCGGCACACCACGCGACGTCCACGCAGCCTACATCAGCTTGTGGTACTCTTATTCCGTCGATGTGTTTACTGATCTTTTGGGTGCGTCAGCTTAATTCCTTGATGCTGGAAGGTGTCAGACGGCTAACGCGCGCGCCCTAGTCATGTGCCTCCCCCTCGGTCTCATTTGCAACCTCCAGATGCATTGGAGACGCAAGATCACAATTGGCGCTCTCTTCGGCCTCGGATGGGTCTGCATTGCCGTTTCCACGATCCGTGCAACCTATCTGGGCCACGACAATGTTGCTGAACAGAAATTCAAGCGGCCCTCGACCTCTTGGCTCGCACTTTGGGGTATCGTCGAAGCTGCCATTGGTAAGAGCCCCCATCGATCCAGAGACCCGACGTGTAGAATTTGGGCTAATAAAATCGACGCAGCCGTCATCATTGGGTGCGGACCCGGTCTCTACCGCGAGGCCAAGGTTCTCAAATCTGGTGGCCGTCTCACCTACAACCAGAACTACGACTACAACCCGGGCGGTGGCTACATCAAGGCCACGAGCGGCCGATCTCGCAACAAGTATGAAGATGGGACGCTGAACGACAACGAGATGATGAACTGCCCACGTGCGACTGCGCAGATCAACAACCCCAGCGACAGTGAGGAGGACCTGTTCCCCCAACGTGGCGGCAAGAACATTAGGGTGACGACGTCGGTCGTGGTCAGTCAAAACGAAGACCAGGCACACGCAAAATAGAATGAGCGATATGTTTTGACTTATGGAATTGACGGACACTTTGTATTTGTGCTTGGAGCTTTGCAACCACGTCTCACTTGTGCCGATGCAAATGAGCTGATTGGGCTTGAACTGAGTTCTGGCATGTATCTTACAGACACTGATCGCAAGGAACTTACCAGTCGGAGTGTAGCTACCCTCGGGTCCCTAAGTGATAGTCGCCTCCTAATTGCCACGGTAGGTGATCGGCGACTCACTCAACAACGAGTATAGCCCCCCTTTCCAAGATTTGTCACATACGCACCCGCCTATCATACATAACTGGCACCCCTTTTTCGGATGGATTGTTGCTGATTCAAACAGGAACGAAGCACCGTGGTTCTCCATGCTCCTTGATCCCTATTGATTATCCAAAACGGCTATACGAATGTTAGGAGAAGGTATCGGATGTCCGAGGTACATTGATCAAGCTGTTGCTACGAGCGCCAGGAAGAGAGCACGTCAAGTCCCCACGCGTGAGTATTGTAATATATAATTATTTTGGGTGTAATGATTCTGCAGCAGCCACTGTCCCGACATATCGTCTGTACTGGGAATCATACACCATTACTGTCGTTCGCTGCGGACTTCCCATTACTCCCCTGAACGAAATCGCCAGCCACAGATCGGGCATCTGCCAGATCCTTTTGCATCGCCATCAGATGCAACACGTCCCCCGAGACGACCATGAACGACATCCGCTCTGACGCCTGGCGAATCGTGTCCAGAGTACCAAAGGGTGCTGAGCCAATGGAAAACCCGCCATAGGGCTTGTCGTGCTTTTGGATGACCTGGAAGAACTTGTCCCTGGCGGCGAGCCACTCGGGCTCCCCACCCGAGCCGAATTGGCCTGGAAGACCCATGCTGATACGGGCGTCCAGCGAGCCCAGCCAGACAATGTCAATGTGCTCACCGACCTCGGTCAGAATGTCGTCGAGGTTGTTGATGGCCTCGAGAGACTCGATCTGGATCATGATGGCTGCCTGGTCGTTGACAGCCGCAAAGACATCCTTGTGCGGATGGTAGGATTGATCCGTGAGACCAGGAATCAGTCGGAAGGGTGGCGCGGATCGGGATCCTCCAATCTTGGCGCCAAATTTGGCTGCGGACACGACGTGCTTGGCCTGCTCGACCGTGTCGACCTGGATGCCAGCGTTGTTAGCCCGATGGAGGAAGTATGGGCGTGCGTGGTGGCACGACATACCTGTGGTACGACAATGGAGGCACCCGCGTCCAGGGCGTACCCAATGGCAGCGTGGTCATGGCCAGGCACACGCACCCAAGGGATGGTGTGCCCTTGGCTCATGAAGATGGCTTGGTGGACCATCTCGGTCATGGTCTCGACGTTGCACGACGTGTGTTCCCAGTCGACCCACACGCAGTCATAATTCATGGGCGCGAGCATTCGTGTGATGGGCACCGAGGAGAGACCGGCGTAGTAGCCCAGCAGAGGACCAATCTTCTTCTCGTGGGCGTCCCGGATGGCCTGGCGCGCGTGGTGCGGCTGAAAGAGCGAGGGGGCCGCGTACGCAAGCATGCCCTTTTCCTGGACGTTCTTGTACATTTCTGTGACCTCCACCATGGTTGCGGTTCCTTATCTCGTGTAGGAAGGAAAGGGAATGGTGAAAGTGATGGGAAAAGGGGGACAGCAGCAGCGCGTTTTTATAATCCTCCAACTTTGCCGAGACGGACGAGTGTGCTTCCGACAGCTGCATATAAGTATCCTAACTTCGCTGTGACCTTACTAATTTGTTCCCCAGTCATGCGTGTTTAGCTTGCTGATCCCTCCGGGGTCGATCCTTTTCGGGCCTCCATGACCAAGTTACACGTAATGTCCGTCGCATCACGAGAGGATGTAAGCACTTGTTGCTGTGTGCTGATGGTCTGTGGCGCAGTGTGCGGGCATGGAACACAGCGGCAGAGGACAATGGACAGCGTGGGCGTTGTGAAGGAAGAAAACCGTGTTATCAGTTGGTATTTCCCATAACTCGACACTCGTGATCTCGGGGCCCCTGTCCGGTTCCATCCCAGCTTCCTTCCGATTGGGACGGGGCAGCGCCGCAGCTGACGGGGGCTGCAGGTGCATCCTGTTCAGGGCTTGGTGACAGATTCTGTTGTGTGTCAGGCCCAGTGACTGTCAGACCAGTCACTGACTGCCCTGATTGGTCAGGCTGCACATTCGGCCCACAGCTGTCCTCAAAAGGCAGCATCTTCGCGCTATCGCGTTCTTCCTCTTTTGATAGCATCAGCATGTTCTTCAGATAGAGAATTCATCATCTTCCTTCTCCTCTGATCTGTTTTTCATCATCCTCTTCATAGATTCCGACGGTGTTTACTTGTACATTGAGTGGAGACAAGTGGACATGAATCGCCCGCCTTTCACCGTTGTTGATAAGATCGTTCTCCGTAGTTGACTAACTTAACTTAGTAAATACTTGGCTACCCTACACATGCGACAGCGACACTGTCGAAATAGGAGATGCACAACATTGAAGATGGGATCTAGATGTGCGCGCAAAGATCTCGACAATTTGGAGTGCGGTATTTTCGATAGGCTCCATTGTTGGCAGAAAGACAATTGACCACTGAATAGCAACATACATGTCGTTTGACAAGACGATTCAGGTTGATAACGCTCTTTGTCCAACATGCGTCAACTTGTCACGATCCGAAAGACCCAGGCTTTCATAGTTGCAAGCTGTTTCATTCTGGGGCGCAACTACTTGTATGTAATGAGCGTGGTGGCAGTGTCCAGCGAATGTGCCCTGTCAATGTATCCTTCTCGTCCTCCTCTGTTACTGAACGAGTGGCGGAAGTGATCGCATCATGAGCCGTTTACAACTCATTCTGCTTCTTGCGGACGTCAAAGATGCGAAGTGCCTCCTCAGCAGCCTTGACACCGCTCAGCGCCATCGCGCCAAAGGTCGGACCTGTTTGGTGTTGTCAGTATCAATGTCCCAAGGTGACATGTCTTTGCATTGGTGAACATACCCATGCGGTTGGCACCGTCAACCTCGGAAAGCTCCATGCCTCCGACAATCAAGCCGGGAACAATCTCCCGGGTCCCCTTGACAATGGCATCCTCGGCCACGTTCATGTCCAGACCCCTCATACCACCCAGCTTCTCAATCCTCTGCATGCTGACCAGTCTCTTGACGCAAAAGGCACCCATGGGGCCATCGTGCCCTGTCGTCGAGATGATGACAGGCGCGTTGATGGTGTTGGGGTCCATGCAGGACTGGTCGTCGTGGTGCATGCTGACAAGGGTCCAGTTGGTGACGACACCAGCGATGCGTACACCCTCCTCGGCGGGACGGGTGATCAGATCCTCCACGCACGTGGCATTGAAGAGCTTCACGTTGGGAAAGGCGAGGACTTTGGACAGCAGAGTCGAGGTGAAGAGGGCGGCGTGCTTGACGACGACGTAGTCGCCCTCATCCTCGTACTCGACGCCGACTTCGCGCAGGAAGGCGTCGGCCGGCTTGCGCATGACCATGGCGCTGAAGAGCTGGCCACCGAGCCAGGCACCGCCACCAGGGGCGACGCCAGCCTCGATGATGGCAATCTTGAGGTCAGGGCGGGCGCGTGCCAGGACAAAGGCCGTGCTGAGACCGCACGAACCCGCGCCGATGATGACAATGTCCGACTCGGCGTGGGTGTCGAGGTCGGCAAAGTACCGACGGGTCATGGCGCGCGAGACGGTGGACTCGCGGATGGGGTTGAATGCGAACGAGTCCCAGTTGTTCTCCATCTCGGCAATGGTCGTCTGCTTCGCCTTGCCCGTGCTGGCAGGCTTAGACGCAGCCGTCTTGGCGACGATGGGTTGGGCGTAGTCCCGAGTAGGGGAGATGGCAGCGGGAGGGCTCATGGTTGGTGATGATCTACAAGATCGATTAGACGCGAAGGTGAAAGAGGGGGGAACATGATCCTTTCGCCGGTATTATCCGGATCAAGTGAAGGCCGTATATTCTCAGCCACGCTCCCTGCCTTCTGCGTACTGTCCCCGCTGCTCGGTGCACCCAGGTTGGTGGTCGAGGACGACCACGATTCGGGAGACACAAGTGCTTGGATAGTGGGAGTGGACGGTTTGCAGAAGACGAAAGAGCGGGCACCGGCTCATGCATCAGACATTACCTGATGGGGAAAATTGATCACTGCGGATAATTGCTGTGCTGCGACGAGGAGACATGGTGGCGGTGGTGTTCAATGTACCCTCGAAGGGGTCAGTGACGTCTCTCACGGCATAGTGTATACAAACTGGAATTCCTGAAGGAATGGGTTCGATTTGCTGATAGTGTCGGTCGAGAGCTTGGATCAAGTACTTGATAGCAAGTGTTTGGAAGAAGAGAAAAGGTAGGAACCGCCATGTCGAGCTGGCTTCACATATATATACGTCTACAACCAAGTGAGGGGTTGGCCCAATCAGGCACAGAAACAAATCATGATGATCGAATTACAATTATTCGCGAATGGGGTGGGAGAAGAGCAGGGAACCCGGCTATATCCCGCATCAACGACATCCGGCCGACGGCAGCCGTCAAGAGCTGCTCCGGTAGCGGCGGAATGAATTCAGTCTGAGCACATGCTGACCTGTGCGAGCCAAGCTCAAGCTGTTTTGCTGAGTTGACAAAGTGACGTGATTTTGGGCATTTATTTGTACATGTATGTTGCAAACCAGCGTGCCGGACGATTTCGAGCCAGCGAGGAGACGTCTAGGGATGCCAAACGACGAGTCTGGTGCTAGGCTGTCCTCGTCCCACGATGCGTATCGAGATCACTTGCGTCAGTACACAAAAATAACCCGTGAAATTACATACTACGGAGTAGTCAAGATTCCTTGTCACTCGCGCTCAGCACTGTGATCCAGAGGAGGGCCCTGATGTCTGAGGCTACCACTGATGATTTCAAGGGCACCCTAGGATGCGCCACTTGGAATTCGGCCTGAGACAACGTCTAGCGCCAAGGAGTACCGGCTGGTTCTCACATAATATGGATCGTAATGGTAGATAGTAGGGTGAAGGCAATGGCATTTACCAGGAAGTCGTCAGCGTGATCTTACCGTGTTCCAGGCACGGATGGAGCGCATAGCTCACTACTACAATGCAAAGCACTTTCTCGCCGAGCTCACGCTGTGATCCGCAAGACTCATGCATCAATGACCTCCTTGACTGTCCGCACAAACTGGGCCACATCGTGTCCGAACCTGCCCAGAAAGAGGCCATCGACGCCAGAGCTCAGCCTCTCAAACAGTCCAGGGCCAGCACTGCCTCCATACACAATCCTCGTGCTGCCTGGCCTGTTCTTGACGCTGTCTAGGTTCCTGATACCCGCAACAACACTCAGGATGTGCTCCTCGCCAGCAGGCTGACTCGCGCCAATCGCCCAGACAGGCTCGTACGCCAACACAACGTCTGCCGCGGCGTCGACCGCTGCCATGACCGCGTCGACCTGCACCTGCACCTCGTCTACCGCCACGCGGACATCTCCCTCTGTCTCCTCGCCAATACACACCAGGGGGACCATGTCGTTCCTCGCGACAGCCGCGGCCTTCTTGGCGGTAATGTCATCGTCCTCCCCAAACAGCCGCCGCCTCTCGGCGTGACCAACCTCGACAATCTTGACGCCCACGTCCCGCAGCACCGTGGGGCTGACCTCGCCCGTGTACGCGCCGTGGTCCTCCCAGTGGGTGTCCTGCGCGCCCAGCCAGACGTCCGAGCGGGCCTCTCGGAGCTGCTGCGCGGTGGGCACGAGGGTGACGAAGTCGGGGATGAGGAAGATGTCGACAGGGGGCGGCGAGGGTAGCGACGAGAGGGCGGTCAGGAGGGCGGATGTGTAGGTCGACGTCTTGTCGAGGGAGAAGTACATTTTGGACGAGAGTCCAATGAGGCGGCGGTTGGATGTCGTCATCGTGAGGTCTGACGGGGAAATTATCGAACTTGAGCTTCAATTGGCGATGCGGGAACAATTTTGTGTAGGTTGGTCGAGTTGGCGTCTTGGTCGCTGGTTGCGTCAAGGGTCGAAGAGGACTTGATGGACTTGATGGACACGATGGACGCATCCCACTTCGAGAGCTCCAGCAGCAAACAATTGTGTAATTACCCCACATTCATTGACAAAAGCTTGTGACTGGGACGATAGTTGGGGTTCTACACTTCTACTTAGTCTAGCTATATCGGGGCTTTCGCCGATCAGGGTCGGTCCGGCGTGGCCGGGCTCGCCAGATGAGGGAATCCGAGGGGTCGGGGTCGGTGCCTGGGCAATTCAGGTCGAGACATTTTGGTAGCAAGCGGAGGACCCGGTGACTGAGCCTGATTTTGTGTCTCGCTAAAGCTCGTGATTATTGTTATTGCTACGCACGTTGAGGGCACGTAAATGACGACGTGCTGCGGTGAGGCTGCAGGGTAGGTAGGTTGACATGGGGAAGAACAGACAACGCTTCCACACCGACAACACAAGTTAAAGGAATCAAAAACATGCAGAGAAGCCAAGTCGCTTTGATCACAGTATATAGAGGAACCCCCGTCCATGTTTATTCTGTCTACCCCAAGGCTATCTCACATGTCCTTCTCGAGCTCCGTGATCTCGTCCACCTTCTTGGCGCTCGCGCTCTCCGGGTCAAACACATGATCCAGCCAGCCGCTCGCCAGCTTCCTCGCGAGCTCGACGCCAATGACGCGCTCGCCCATGCACAGCACCTGCGCGTTGTTGCTCTTGACGCTCCGCTCGACGCTGAAGGGATCGTGGGCGGTCACGGCGCGGATGCCCTTGATCTTGTTGGCGGCAATGGCGACGCCCAAGCCGGTGCCGCAGATGAGGAGCGCACGATCCGCCTCGCCCGAGGCCACCTTGCGCGCGGCGGCGGCGGCGCGTGTGGGATACGGTGTCTTGTCGTCGCTGCCGTGGGAGCCCACGTCGACGACGGCCTTGACGCGCGGGTCGGCCTCAAAGTCGGCCTTGATCTTGTTCTTGTAGCCGACGCCAGCGTCCTGGTACTGTCAGACCTCGATCTGATCCTTGCCTGGCCACTCGGCAACGGGGACAGCTTGATACTCACGTCACAGGCCATGGCCACAGTCCATTGAGGTGCCATTGTGATTGATGTTGTGTGTGTTTGTGGTGCTACAAGACAAAGGGGAATGCCAGAGACGACAAACGGGAGGGAAAATGTTTGTCGTGTCGAGCAGCAGAAACGATGATATCAAATTACGTAGCAATTAGCAGCAGACTAACGTCAACAAACCTCGTCTCCAGTCGCCACCCCAAAGGAGCAACCCGATGTGATTGAATCTCCTCGTCACGCGGCCCAATTATTTTATCTGAGGGTCGAGAATCGAGAAGAAGAACCGAGTGGACTGTCCGCGGCCAAGGCGGCGTGCCGCATGGCGCCTCCGTGTCGGCCAACCAGCCGACCACGACACGCGCTCCCTCCCTCCCACGTCCTCCCACCGTGCCCTCCTCTGAGCTTGATGCGCTTGCCAAGCTCCATCTTCTCTCCACCATTTTCTTCCCTCGACCCCTCCTCTACCCCTCCATGCCCCTCCGTCTCCGTCTCGAAGGAACGGTGACTTGAGCCGGCCATGCCTGATAGGGCAACCCGAGCCATCCTCCCCACATGGAGCACAGGGACAAGAGTCCGTCTGAGTGAGTGACGATGGCGTCTCGGGGCTGGCTGACCAGAGGAGCAACCACAAGCGCCCACGTAGTAGCCGCACGCAGTGTCCAGTCGCTGGTGCCCAGGTCCGGTCGGTCAGTCGTGGGAACCGTGAACTGAGACGTCTCGATTCACAACAAACTTGTCGTCCGTCCACCGACTTGTCTGTGCTCGCTGCTGTCCGACCACGGAAGGCCGAAGCTCAAGGCAACAAGCTCCCCACATTCTAGTCTAGTCTAGTCCACGGCACAGCGACTTCTCCTCCATAAGCGGCGCATTCCCATCCCCATCCATCCATCCATCGCAGCTCATTCTTCGTCTGCCCCAGCCCCAGCCTCTGCTCCTTGTTCTCCTGCTGTTGTTCTCATCCTCATCACTTCTAGTAATCTCTAATCCCGCCGACGCCCAACGCACATAGGCGCCATGTCCAAACGCCACCTCTTCACCTCGCCGGACGGCCTCGTCCCCAAGTCCCTGCGTGGCTTTATCACCTACAACCCTTCCCTCTCGCTAGACCCTGACAACCGCATCGTCTTCGACACAACCCACCCCAAGTCCAATGTGAGCATCATCTCCGGTGGCGGCTCTGGCCACGAGCCCGCCTGGGCCGGCTACGTGGGCGAAAACATGCTCGCCGCCGCCGTGCAGGGTGACATCTTCGCCTCGCCGAGCACGAAGCAGATCCTAGCCGGCATTGAGAGCGTGCCGAGCGACAAGGGCACCATCCTCGTGGTGACAAACTACACGGGCGACTGCCTGCACTTTGGCCTCGCCGGCGAGAAGGCCAGCGCCGCTGGCAAGAAGACCAAGATGATCATCTGCGGCGACGACGTGTCCGTCGGCAAGAAGAAGGGCGGCATGGTCGGGCGACGAGGCCTGGCCGGGCAGATTGGGGTGCTCAAGGTCATGGGCGGTGCCGCCGGCCAGGGCGGCTCGCTGGACGACGTCTACGATCTTGGCGTCGCCTTCTCGGAGCAGATTGTCTCCATCGCCGCCACGCTCGACCACTGCCACGTCCCCGGACGCACAGAGCACGGCATGCTCCAGCCCGACGAGGTCGAGATCGGCACCGGCCCGCATAACGAGCCTGGCTACCAGAAGCTCAGCCCCCAGCCCACGCCCGAGGCCCTCGTCGGCTCCATCCTCAAGTACACCCTCGACCAGAACGACCCGGCGCGCGCCTACGTCAAGTTCAACCCGGGCGACGAGACCATGCTGCTCGTCTCCAACTTTGGCGGCATGTCCCACCTCGAAATGGGCGCCCTCGTGGACGAGCTCCTCAACCAGCTCGAGGCCGACTGGAACATCACCCCGGAGCGCGTCGTCTCGGGCTTCCTCGAGACCTCGCTCAACGCGCCCGCCTTTAGCGTCTCTGTCATCAACGTCACGGCGGCCGCCAAGAACTGCAGCTACTCGGTCGAGCAGATCAAGTCCTTCTTCGACGTCCGCACAACCACCTCCTGGGAGTCTGTGGCCGGCTCGCAGGCCAAGCGTCGTCCCCGCGCTGAGCAGATCGTCAAGGCTCCCAAGGAGCCCGCCAAGGCTGTCGACGAGTCGCGGGACCTCAAGGTCGACCCCAAGGTACTCGCGAGCATGCTCCGCAAAGCGTGTCAGGACCTCATCCAGGCCGAGCCCGACCTGACCAAGTGGGACACCGTCATGGGCGACGGCGACTGTGGCGAGACGCTCAAGACGGGTGCTACGTGCCTGCTCGCGGCGCTCGACGCGGGCGTCGCCGAGTCCGGATCCGTGGTCAAGGTCCTCCATGAGCTCGAAGACATTGTTGAGAGCAAGATGGGCGGTACGCTGGGCGGCATCCTCGGCATCTTCTTTGTCTCGCTGCGCGCCGCGCTCGAGGCCAACATTGACAAGGCCTCCCAGGGCCTCGAGCCTCTCTGGGGCATCGCCCTCACAAACGCCCTCGCCAGCCTGCGGCGCTACACCCCGGCCAAGGTTGGCGACAGGACCGTCATGGACGCCCTGATCCCCTTTGCCGAGACCATGTCCAAGGCCACCTTTGCCGACAGCGTCAAGGCCGCCGCGGACGGTGCCGAGGGCACAAAGACATTGACACCTAAGCTGGGCCGCGCCACCTATGTCGGTGCAGGGTCGAGTGATGGCGGCGAGCTGCCCCCTGATCCGGGTGCCTGGGGCGCCAGGGTCGTCATTGAGGGTTTGCTGGCTGGTATGAAATGAGGAGAAGGGCTCAGAATAGCATGCTATGTATTCAGCACAGGCACTAATTGTACAAGCATCAACTAGCCTAGCTGAGATGATTCACCCGTGAATCTTAGCGCAAACACTGCTATGGACAGCCGGCAGGCTAGGTGAGAATGACCTTGGACAATGCCCTGAACCAATCCCTCATATCCACACCCATGTAGGTCGCTGGTGAGTCGTCGTGCAGACGAAGGATGTGTGTGCTTGCTAAAATACCATCTACTTGAGTCAAGGTCCAGTTTAGACTCATCGTAGCGTTGACTTGTCTATATTCCATTATCGAGAGCCGGCAGCCACGGAGATGGGGGCACAAAATAAGGCGATACAACGTCGCGCCACCTACACGTATCATCGGGAAGAAAAGGTGTAATGATCTCATAATGACTGCCGACATTGGACTATCGCAGGATAGGCAAATCGTGTGTGGGAGGATACGAAAGGCGGATCTTGGCTCCCTGCTGCCGCATCCAGCTGGTTCTTGACATCCTGTTGTAATAGGCCATCGCTTCAGACTCCATTGAGCTGACTTGAACTCAAGAGGCACACAATGAAAATAATTGAGAGCGGCGAAGAGAAGCAGTACTACGACGCCATCGTGTCATCCGGGGCCAAGGCTGGCTTGTGTGGCCTCGCCCTCGGTGTCGCAGCCATGGCAGGGCTGCATTCGTGGTACCCGCCGTTCAGACAACTCCCTCTCTACATCAAGAGCACTTCTGCCATCTACCCCGGAATATTGGCTACGAGCATTGGCGCCACCCACGCGTCCCATAGCTTCCAGTCGCGGTTGCACCCGGAGGCGCAGGAGTACATGCGCCAGGTCAAGCGTCAAGCCAAAGAGGCACACAGGAGGGAGCCAAGGAGCCAGCGAGAACGGGAATGGCTGCACAAGAATCAGTATTACATCTTGGGCGGGATATGGGCTTCTACCATGGCCTCCAGTCTGGCACAGATGCGGCATGACCATTTCACCTCGGGGGCCCGAAAGCTGGTCCAGGCCCGCGTCACGGCGCAGGCATCGACGCTCGCTGTGCTGCTCGTGACTGCGGCTATTGAATACAAGGACAGAAGAAAGAGAATGGGAAAGTTCCAACCAGTTGTCCTTGTCCATAGTGAGGCATCGAGGGCGGGTCCGCCCCAGGAGAAGAGAGTACCGTAGCCTACAGCATGGGAACACTCTCGATCCGAGGCAACGCGTCGGTGGTGCCGATGAATCGAGATGGGCCTCATTTGCAAAGCGTACCGACTGATGCTTTATTTAATGAAATGCGTCCGTTGATTTCCTACTTCCACATTCCTACCAGCCCGAAGCCCCTTACTAGCCTTGCTTGCAACTACTCAACAGCGTCCGTCTCCAGCATGACCCAGGGCCCTCCAACGACATCAAAGATAGCGCCGGACCATTCATTGAACATGAACTTTAATGAAGCCCGCCGCAGTGTGGTGGGTGCTGTGTCAGCCCACAGCCGAACGCTGGCCTCCAGCAGCTATGGTACATGTACGGTGAACACGAGGCGTATCCGCAATGAGGCGCGTGATGCGGACCGAGGCCTGCCCATCCCAATGGCATATGCTGCTCCGGCGCCTCCGAATTGCGTATCGGGGGCATATGGTGCATGCTGCAAGAATGCTGTCCCATCGCGCTGCAATTGCGGCAGCGGCAGCAGCAGCATGGTCCGCCGGCCGTGCAGGGTGCGGCGTCGCCATGCCCGTGCTGTCCAGGATGGACGGTAGAGGGGGGCGTCTTTTGAGCAGCGGAAGAATCCGTTGGAGAGTTGTGATCCCCGCCAGAGGGGTTGTGTTCGTCCTTGCTCGACATGTCGTGGTGTTGCTTGTTTTGACTCGAAAACAGGTGGAATGGTGTCAGGAGGTGGTGAGATGGGGATGTATGATAGTTCAATTAAGAGCAAATGTTTGGTACTGTATATATATGATACCGGCCGGGTACACATAGTCTCAGACACTGTAACTCCATAAGAGTTCCCCCATCTTCAAAGGCGTCATGATGAAACAATGCTGTATGCGTGTACCCTTGCACTGGCTCGACTGCAGGGCCGCTGCGAGACGGCAGGCGACAATCCCGTGCAATCGGCATCTTCGGAATTCAAGACCTCATTCAGAATGTGAATGTGACCATGAGATACGTAACAGATCTTGTGGAGGGTGCGGGTGTGGTGTTGAATGGTGTTGAATGGGCTGCAGGCCCCTAGTCTATGGAGGTTCCAGGCTTCGTCTTTCACAAAATCGCAACATCAATTGCCAATCCCATAAGGAACGTTTGCAGTAGTCCTCGTAAAGCTATTCTCCCAGGAAAGGTATCTTCTCCAGCCATTCAGATGTGATCTTGCATGTGTCATAGACAGACAGCCCCCTCTGCACATCTAGGCCTCAAACAAGCCCCTCGTCCATCCAAATTTCTTGCCCATTCTCTCCGCAAACATACTCATGTCCGTCAAGTTGATGTTCGGTTCATGCGGCCGATGCAAGTTGATCCGCATGCCCACCGGCTTCCCGCCCAACGGCTCGACGGGGAAAAGGGCCACCGCCGACCCTCCACAGTTGGTCACGGCAAAGCATAGATCACCCATGGCAGCGACAAACTTGTCCCGCGGATACGTCCGGCCGCTTTCTTCTGCTGTGGTCGGGTACAAGTGCCGGATCAGGCCGTAGGCCCTCCTCGTCGTCTTGATCGTGGCGACCTCGACATGGTCGACAGCGTGGAGTTTCTCATCCTCCTCCGACTCGTGGTCCGTATCCAACGCCAGATTGAAGACCATCCTACGCAGCTACTCGTTGAGCTCAGTGTCGGTTCGCGCCTTTGTCTTGCTTTTCCTGGCTGCCATCTTGCGCCGTCCATGGACGTGGGCGGTTGACCGCGGGATATGCACAACTCTGCGCTCAGACTCTGTCTTGATCTTCATCTCGAGGGCTGCGCGCTCCAGGCGGAGTAGCTTGACATGCTCAGCCTGGGCATGGTGGTCCAAAAAGTCAAAGACGTCGTCTGCCACAACGCCGCGCAGGAACAATACATCGTTGTCGAAGAAATGCTCGCGCAGATCTGTCCACAAAGCCCCTAGCAGCTCGTGGCTGTTCTCATGGTACTCAAGCCAAGCCGAGGGGTTGGATCGCTGCGGCAGGGTGAGTAACTCAAAGGGCTCCAGGAAGTCAGCGTGAGTGGCGCCCAGACGATATCTCCGGCTCGTCGTCTCATCGCAGCAGGGACACTTGCCAGGCCCTCGCTTGTCATCATCTTGGAAACGTCCCCGATAGTTTTCTCCATAGCCGAACTGCCAAAGCTTCGAAAGATGTGCGCTGGCAAAGTCGTAAGCGACATAGGGCCTCATGCGCTCGAGGCTGATGGCGAGTTCGTGAGCACCCGCCATATTGTGAGTAGGTCCGGTGAATCTGCGGGGAGACGAATCGCTTCGCGCGGTTCTCCGGGACGTTCATCAGCTCCTCAAACATGGTGAAGAGGAATGTATAGTCCACCTTGTATCCTTCGTGCGGAGCGCGGAACACGCTAATCACACACCAGTACAGAGGTTCATACTCGAGCCTACGTGCTGGGCACTGTTCGCGTCTGGGCGTTTTCCGCGTTTCGGGGTTGTTTCCGAGGAAGATATTGTGCATCCGCATGTCAGCCACAACTTTGCTAGAGCAGAGCTGAATGTACAGCTTGACGAGGCCTCCTAGGCGCACAATGTCCGCCACAGCCTCTGCGGTCAAGGTTGTCGAGGCGTCGGCGACGGCGCAGAGGCGGTGCAGAGGCGGTGCAGGACATTGCATATCTGCACCAGGATGAGATATGTGTGGATCTCGCCCTCGATCAGATAAGCCAACCTCTCTGGTCGGGACATGCGGCCTTCCTAACAGGCGTCACAGAAATATTGGTATGACAGAACCCCAAGATGCTGTCGCAGGTAGGCAGGGTCACACTGCAACCTCTCAAAGTGGCTAGAGGCCTCCTCGAGACGCGCGCAAGCATCTCAATACAGCGCTGAGAAGTCAACGCGCGCTAGCGAGCAGAAGGCTTGGTAGTAGTGCGGGGATCCCGGCGTGACGGAGCCAGCCTGCTTGAACTGTAGCTTGGCTTCTTTCAGGAGAGCGTCTGCTCCGCGGTGATTCTTCAGCTCGCTGGTGCTGGCTGTTGCCAACATGTGTACGACGAGTTGGCTGGGGTAGCGCATGAGCACATGCTATGCTTCCAGGACAGCGTGCGCTCGCGGGTACCCGATAACACCGAGGCCATGGACCTCTTCCGGACTATAGGTCTTGGTTTGTCCGAATGAATCAGCCTGGACAGATACGTAAAGGAGTGAATAGACAATTGGCGTCGTCCACTGCCGCCAAGTCACGTCGGTCTGCTGAAAATCGAGGGCAAACCACTCCTGTTGCTCATGCGCTGTCCTCGCATGAAGCAGGGCGATGAGTCGATGCGGTTCCTCGACAAGCGACTCGGTGTCAAGCCACGGGAGGAGTATGGGGGAGAAGATCTCGGGAATAGAGGCCCGCAGCTTGAAGAGATTGTTGAAGTACGTTCGAAGCTCGTCAGGTCCTACTGCAGCGTGGGCTGGCGGGCGGGAGTAGGGGTAGAGCGTGGGACAGGCCTGTGTGATAATGGTCCTACGCATCGTTTCGTTACTGAACCACATCCGGTAGACTGTATTGCCATGCTGCCCCAGAACGAGCCGCAAAGCTTCCTTCATCCCTTGGGTCAGCTTGAGTAGTTCAGCTAGGCCAACTGACTGTGGCGTCCCCCACGTTTGCCACGGTACTCATGTAGTTTGCTTTGGTGTAGGACTCGGTCCTCCCCTGCGTCCGCTGCCGCCTTGCCTCGTCCTCCCGCGCGTCTGTCGTTGTTTGTCGTCAAGTTGACAGCCAGCTCATCTCGCACACTGCACACTCGCATTCGGGCCCGATGACATTCTTTGATAGACCTCCCCTGTCGGAGAGACGCTCATCTTCAGGTACAAAGTGGTCTGACAGTGCTCTGAGCGGTGTGAGGACCATGTCCAATACGTCGCCGTTGGAAGACATGAGGCTGACTTCTGGGATGGGTTTGGCCATGAGTTGACACAGCTGCTAGGGAATTCGTGAAGCATACTAAGCCAGAGATTCTCGTCGCAGCTTACCTCGTTGACGGGCTCGCCGAGCAAGCGTTCCCTGACTGGATCGATTCGCGCGGAAGCCATGGTGAGAACAATCGTACCTAGGGCCGCATGCAATCTGGGCTGGGAAGCAGATCCCTCGAGTCTCGAGCCTTAGGACAGCCGTGGGCAAGAGAAAGGTGAACACAAAATGCGTGAGAACGAAGGTGAGGAGCTTCAAGTGATGCGGGATGACTTCTCCAGACCGCGTATGGTAAACAAACATAGCCACCGCACCTTGTGGATACGCTTCATTTTCATCTGGACGTTGGTTGCACAAACACGCCGAATGAACACGCTAATCTGACATGTGATTTGCCGCCAGCAGATATGGGATGCCTCATCCTTCCGTCAGGCTGAACATCTTGCTCACCTCCTGCCAGTCCACCTCATCGATGCCCGTCAGGGGTAGATTCGGGTCGTTGAAGCACGAGTAGATGTTGCCCATGTCCATACTCAGGTCCATGTCGCCACCAAAGTCAAACGACCCTTCCGTCGAGACTTGCCAGTTGCCCCAGGGCTCCAGGGCATCGAGAGCCGGCGTCGTCTGGCTGGCGTTGGTGATGGGCGTGCTGCCGTCGCCCCTCGACGACTCGAGCATCAGACTCGGCGTCTGCGCAGAGACTGAGTTGGATGCTGAAAAGGATGACCGGGACGAGGCGTCCTTGAGCCATCCCCACTCCGCAGACAGCTTGTCCGGCGACCAGACGTTGGAGCAAAATTGCTTCAGCTCGTCGAGCCGCCGCTGGGCCGTCTTGTTTCCCTTAGATGCTAGATGCTGTAGGACGCTTGCTGCGGGGCCGAGGCTTTCAGGTGGTTTGTTGAAGTCGTTTGTGTCCAGGAAACCTTTCATCACAATGAGGAAAGCAGCAGAAAACGCCACATCCAGGTCAAAGTAGCCAAAAGGTGCTGACGCTTGTTAGAAGGAGCGCATATCATGGTTGGGACGCTGTACTTACCCACGCTCGGGTCCTCGCGCATGGCAGAGAGGATGCGAATGCTTTTCTTGGCTGCTTCGCGACAGGAATGGCAAAGCCTGGTCATCATGGTCGACTTGGCCAGAGCGGGTCGATTGTTTCGCGAAGAGTTGATGCGATCCTTGACTCTCTGGAAGATAATGGGTCGGATGCAGAGAATGATGGCCTGGAAGAGGGACAGGTACAGCGAGGCGCTCGTGCGTGTCAGCCTGAGTCGGGGGCTGGAAAAGTCAATGGTGTATTGCGGCGGTATGGACTTTTCAGCCTCGTACAACCCTTGCAACGTGCTTTGGATCTTCTGGACAAGCTTCGTTTGTGAAATAGTGGCGTTTCCATAGAACGAGGTAATAGTGTCGCCCTTGGCACGGGTGATCTGAACGCTGATGATCAGCGGCAGGGGGTCTTCGAACCCACGAGTCGGTTTCGGGAGGTCAGCTCGGAGCTGTCGCTCATCTGTGCCCGCCGGCATGCCCAAGGTCGTCGCTAGACAACGGTCTTGGACATAGACTGTCCACCAAACACGTGTCCTGTGACAGCGCTCCGACGAGACGCCGTGCTGCTCTCTGAAGGGGAGGGCACAGCCCAGCGCCAACGCGACCCTGACAGCCGAGCCGCTGTATAGATAGGCATCGTGCTTCCTGTCGCACCACCGGAGGTAGAGGCACGCGAGCGCGAGGATTTCCACCGAGATGATGCCATGGTATCCCATCTCGTAGGTGGGAGGCAGGCGTCTCGCAGCCTCAGCGAAGTACTGCTGTCCATGGGGGATGTCAGACAGGCTTTGAGGGCAATCAATGAGCATGCCAATCGCCATGACGAGAAGGTACTGGGTGAACCATATATTCAGCATCCGGTCATTGCGGGTGGCATCGGACGCGTAGAGCAGGTCGACATTGTCAGCAAAGGACCTTGTGTCGAGGTAGTGTTGGTGAGTGCCCATCCACGAGACGAAGACGTCAAAGAGGCGGAAGGACTCGTCCTTTGAAAGCAGCGAGGGCGGTGCGATGCCGTACACCATGTCCGCGGCGCCACGCCACTGTGTGTTGTCGGCCACGTCCAACTGTTCCGTGCCCACGTTCATCGTGCTAGGCGAGACTCGAGAGCCTGCGTGCTCACGAATGATCGACCTGACCCGCGACTCAAAGGCTGGCGCAGCATCAAGCTCAGTCATTGGGCTCTGCCCGCGCTGTCCGGCGGGAGAATCGCCTTGCTCGTGCTCCTCGTGTATCGAATACTTCTGAGGCGAGCTCTCGTCACTCTCGCTTTCCTCATCGTGGTGCGACGATCCATGCATCTTTGGGACGGTCGTCCCTCTTTCGCTGGCCTCCTCGTGGTCCTTGATCTTGTCCAGCAGCTTCTGGACATAACTGATCCCATCAGCCTGGACGAGCTACATCATGTTGATGAACTTACGCCTCGGAATATCCCCTGCGCCCTACGAAGCCAAACTCGCATTCGAGTCCGCGTCGCGTGCAGGCCACGCAGGGCCGCGAGCCAGAACATTTCACTTTTCGCGATCGGCACGCATCGCAACTAATGGAGCGACAGTCAGCCTAGGTGGTGGAAGCATCACCGCACAGGGGGTTGCTCACGCATTGGCAGACCGCGTGAGGGGAGTGACCCTCGAAGAAGGCATCTTGTCGACGTTTGTGCAATCACAAGGCGCGACACCGTGTCTAACTTGAAGGCAGCAGATAAGCTTGCTCAGGCTGTCATAAAGGGAACATGAAGTCTGGACTGAGATGAGAGGTGGACAGACTCGATATCAAGAATCAGACATTCGAGCGATAAACCATGTACCTGCGAGTGGAGGCCCTCACATCATGGAGGTCTTGGTACGTAATTCGCACCTTCGGATTTGACGATGAGGCTGACTTTTTTGGCGGGCGGTATCGGAGTCATTGTCCGATCCTGTGATTGCGCTTCCCCGGATTCGAGCACCACCACCTCATGCATGCGCTGACTAGTTTGCTAGTCTACTAGCCACTGCGTGTCTCACTTATCCTGCAGGGACTTGTTCAAGCAAGCCATGGTCGTACAGTCCATGTTTGATGCTTTGGTTGACTATGATGGAATGAAGACGCTGGCCACATTAGGCATGCACTAGCGATTGAAACAGAGGGAGACGCTGAACTAAGAGTGGCTTGCAGTGGCTCACGTTCGCTATCAGCACCCAGGTAGGGCCTGTCTTCTAGCGCCCTCCACTGACAGGGCCCGACCTCGGACGATAACCGGCACCACCTCCGGGTAGCCTCGGTTGCTATCCGACGACAGGCAAAGGCACGTGACAGCCGTGATAGAAGACAGACTGTCAGGGTAGAGGTCATTAAAGATGCCTAGACTCTATCGACCAAGATGACATCCAACCTGGATCGTGCCCTCCAGCCTAATGTCACGGCTACTGGCGCCAACTAGCACGCCAAACTCCCCAGCAGGAACAACCCATTGCTGACCCTCCACATCCCAGACGGCGAGATCCCTCTTGCGAAGGCTGAAACTCACAGGCCCAGAGGCACCCGCCTCCAGCGGTAGCTTGGCGAACCCACGAAGCTGCTTGGGCGGCTGACCAGCTGCCGACTCTGGATAGGCCAGGTACAGCTGCGCGACCTCTGCACCAGCGACTGTGCCGCTGTTCGTCACGCTCGCCGTGACGGTGGCCACCTCGTCAAAGAAGTCTGCAGGGCCACCGGACACTACCTCACCGGCAATGGGGCCCGATGTGGCTGACGACTGCACTTGGAGGTCGGCGTAGTCAAAGGTGGTGTATGCTGCAAATCAATGAGGGTCAGCCATCACATTTCGCATCACGAAGAAGTAGGGCTGCTCACAGAGGCCAAATCCAAACTCAAAGTCGGGCTCGATGCCAGCGCTGTCAAAGTGGCGGTAGTCAATCATCACGCCCTCCTCATAGTCGTCGTCGCCAGAGACAACCTGCGTGTTGTAGTCGCTGGCCTGCTTCGCAATAGTGTACACGAGCTTGCCATTCGGGTTCGTCTCGCCCCAGAGTACATCGACGAGCGCATTGCCACTCTCCTGAGACGGAAGACCGGCCCAGACGACAGCCTTGACCGACGGCAGAGCTAGGATCTCGTCCATAATGATGGCGCCTACAGAGTGGACCACAACGATTACGTTGTCATTCACCTCGGCGACGGCCTTGACCAGCTCGTTGCCGTTGTGCCAGGGGTTAAGATTGTTTCTGTCGCCCGCATTACCCTCCACTGTAATGTATCCCTCGCCAGAATCGGCAGTGATGAAGACCAGGGCTACGTCTTTGCCACTCGCGGCCGCCGCGCCCTGCGCAGCATTGTCAGTGTCGCTCAGCGTGACAGCCCCTGGCGCCTTCTCCTCGATGGCCGCATACGGTTCACTAAAGGAAGGGTACTCGACACTCCCGCTGCCCCAGCCCATACCTAGGGCACCATCATTGCAGCCCTTGTCGACGCAGACGTTGTTGGCGTGGTCTCCGTTGACGGCAGCAGAGCCAATGACGGCAATGGACAAAGGGCTCGCCAACGGCAAGATGTTGTCTTCATTGCGCAGCAGAACGATGCCGTCGCGTGCGCAGGCGCGGACATTGGCGCCGTGGTCACCCTGCACATTGAGGTCCAAGTTGAGCGGAGGGTACTCGCCGTCCTGCTCCATCTTATACCAGGCGGCCAGGATACGTTTCGCCATGTCGTTGACTCTCTCCTCGGCCACATCGCCCCTCTGTACGGCGCCCTCCAGGCCGCCATTGCCCCAGTAGACATCGCCTCCGTTGTAGTTGCTGCCGGGCATGGACATGTCCAGGCCAGCGTTGGCAGCAGGGGCATTAGAGTGCTGCGCGCCCCAGTCCGTCATGATGTATCCCCGGTACCCGAGCTGGCCCTTCAAGAGCTCGTTCATGACGTGGTCGTTCTCGCAAGCCCATGTGCCATCGAGCTTGTTGTAGCTGCACATGGTCGCTGCGACACCCGACTTGACAGCGTCGTAGTACGGCGCGAGGTAGACCTCGTGCATCGTCTTGTCGTCCACGTTGCTTGACATGGTCTCTCGCCTGAACTCCTGCTCGTTGGCAATGTAGTGCTTGATGGTCGCCTGGACGCCGACGGCCTGCATCGCTTCAATCGTCTCCCCGACAGCGACGCCGGTCAGGTACGGATCAGGGCTCCATCCTTCCCAGTTGCGACCGCCTTCAGCAATCTTACCAAGAGCTCCAGCGACAGGCGACAGCAGTACGTGGACACCCAGGGCTCTAGCCTCCTCGGCGTGGAACTGCCCTCGCTCCCGGATCAAGCCCCGATCCCAGGTCGAGGCAGCCTGTATCGAGGGGGTGAATGCCGTGATGGACGAGGCGTACCGGACACCAAGGGGACCATCTTGCAGGCAAAGTGATGGGTAGCCGATGGACTCGACTGGATGGGTGTTGCCCACGCAGCCTCCGTTTCCCTGCCAGCCGATGCCCGTGGCAATGCCAACCTTGTCGGAGAGCGAGAGGTTGGTCAGGGCTGCTTCGGCCTTTGTGTACGCCTCGTCCCACGAGAGTTGAGCAGAGATAAAAGGTAGGGCCGCAATGGCCAGCGCGGCGACTGATGGCCCGCGCATTTTGACGAGGAAGAAGATAGGTATATGGGATTCTGCTCTGAATCGCCATCACGAGACTGCAGAGACGCAGGCGCCCATGGCCTTTATATATGACTTGAGCCTTCGGCTCCTCATGCTCCGAGCTGCTAATTTCCTGCCAGTCAATACAGGCTCAAAGTGGACGATCGTCGACCGATCTGTGGCTGCTAACGGCATCCCATGGGAAAGCAGTGCGGAGCGCGGTAGGTCTCCCCGCCCAGCGTTGCAGTTGTTCGGAGGAAGCATCTCGACTTGCCTAATCGGGTCCTCGGAGCCGCCATTGTTGGAATGGGTTTGCAGATGCCGAGATGCAGTTCAAACAAGCTTATTCATATGTCCTCGGATTTACGTTCGTCCTCGGGGTGCCGGTCAATGCGTGCTGGGCGTGAAGAGGAGGGGCGTTCAAGCCTCAAAGCTTCATCCTCGAGACTCGAGAGAAGCCAATCGAAAACTTGTCTTGGCGATTTCCAGAGCACCAGTCCAATGACCGCAGCCTCAAATGCAAGGCTGCGGGGCATTTCTGATAGATTGTCCGCCCGGCGCTTTAGCTGAGACTCGAGGTCGTGGCTGTTCAATCCCTGGCGTTCCGAAGCGTCGTTCATCCTTCCCAAAGACTCGAGAATGAGCACGTCTTCTGGGGTGCGCCTGTTTTGGAGATACTGCTCAAAGCTTCTGGGCACCACAAAACTCGCTATCTCCGTCGCTGAGGGGTCCATGGGTCTTTGGACGCCAGGCGGCAGGTCGAGGCGCCTCAACAGGCGACGACGCGCGAGATACACGGCGTAGTAAAGATTGTACACGGAAGCAGACCATCTCGACCACGCGTCTGCATCGTCCACAGCAGCAGATTTGGCCCCAATCACAGGAGAGGCTTGTTCATCCCTGACGTCGTCCAAAAGGTCAATATGGATGTAGTCAAGGCTAGCACCTTTATTCTTTGAATCCGTCCAGAACCACTCAAGCTGCTCATCTTTTGTCCACCTGGGCTTCAGATACGCAAACATCCATTTTCGACGGAACGTGTTGATGCGGATGGGGTGTTTTCCCTTTTTCGCGTGGCGCAGAGCGTTGGTCGACGGCGGGAGGTCTTCTTTGAAGAATCCGGCACAGCGACGTGGTGTAGTGTTCTCGCATGGCGGTGGAGGTGGAGGTATCGACTTTGCCGTGTTCCATGGATCCTCGAGTGGTGTACAGAACGCGAAATCCCAGAACATGTCCCGTGAGATGCCAAGCGGCGTCGCAGAGAAGAGGGCCTCCAGAATGTCGCTGCAGCATTGTCGCTGAGACTCGGACAGCTCACGGGTGGCCGTCACAGGCCACATGGTGTCAATAGAGGTGCTAATGAGGAAACTGACAAATGTGTATCACTTTCGATGGAATCAAGTAAATTGATGCTCAAGGAAATGGCCGGTGAACACGTTGATTGTAAGCCCCAAGGTGCATTTGTAGTGACGTGGCGTTACAGGTAGCCTTTCGCCTACCCCAGACACGGATCAAACTTTATGCTCTGCTAAGGTGAGTAAGTTTGCTGTGCGAGTACTTACTTCTTGAAGTCATGACCTGAACTCGCCCTTTGCAACCCTCTGGCTCAACTCCCCCAGTACTCTACCGGCCCACTCGTAATCGTCCATTTCAAGATAGACCTGCGCACTGATACGAACCCAGAACCGGTCCCAGCGAACCCAAAGCGCCATGAACGTCTTATACTCGTCAAACATCCTGCCCTGCATCCAGTTAAATGCCTTTGGCGCGTCTTCCTTGGACAGGATGGCATGACCCGGCGAGCCCCGCGCTTTGCCATTGTCCCCGACCCAGAGGGGGAGCGCGACGTTGCCCATGCCGCAGTTCGTCAGGGTGCCAGACTTGTTCTGCAGATACGTCGTCCCTAGCTTATCGGCCACGTGTTGGATTCCCTTGAGGTTGAGGTCCTGCAAGTACGAAATGATCCTGTCCTCGCCGCCCAGAACGTCCCTCCTCCAGGCAACAGCATCCTTGACACACAAGAAGGGGGAGTCATCTCTGGTGCCCGTCCACTCAAAGTTCCTCACAAAATGGTTCTTCCCGGTCCCGTCATCAGGCATGGGCTGCGTCCTGCCCTCGCGGTGGTTGTTCTGTGGAATATACCCACGCGCAGTGGCGAGACTTGACGGGATGAGGTGCTGGTTTCTCTCCGGTACATGGAAAACAGCGCAGCCTCGAGGTACATGGAGCCATTTGTGGCAGTTGGTGACCATAAAGTCGGGGCTCGTGGCCGTCATGTCGAGATGCACCATGCCAATGCCCTGCGCGCCGTCCAAGAGACTCATGATCCCCAGATCTCGACACGCGGACACCATGGCCTCCCAGGGGAACAAGACTCCGGGATTCGAGGACACAACGTCAAACAGGGCAAGGCGGGCGCGTTTGCCTTCAGCCTCGATTTTCTTGACCCGTTCATTGAACAGGGCGATAATCTCATCGTCTTCGATGGGGTACGTCAAGGTGATCTCCGTCACGTCCACTTTGTCCTTGAAGTAGTCCACCACAAAGTCCTCAGCCCTCGCACAGTCGTCGTAAATTGTGTTGAAGCCGATCATCACGTCCTTCCCATCCTCGTTCCACTGCAGATTCTTCAGCACAGTGTTGACTCCCTCGGTGGCATTGGAGACAAAGACGACGGATTGGACCGGCGCATTGATTAGCTTGGCCACCTCGGCGCGAGATTCGTCCAGTAGACGAGGTACCTCACGACGGATGAAAGCGTCCGGTCTTAGTTCGTACTGAGTTTGGTAGTGGGCTCGTCTCGCCATGATGGCATTTGGAGCGGTACCAAACGAGCCTGCTATTATCAGCAACCATTCTTTTTTAAAGTCAAGCAAATAGACTCGCTCACCTTGATTGAGATTCCTCCATTCCGGATCAAAGGGGAACTCTGGCTTCAGAGCATGGCCGAACGTAGCCAACCCGTCGCTGCCCTTGGCTGCGGCTTCTCGCTGCCCGGATACTTCTTCCGTTGCGTTCATTGTCATCCTGTCTGTTTTGTGAAGGTCAATGGATCGAATGCAGATGCCAGCGTTTCCTATTATGTACAATAGCAGAGTGTCGCCGCCTGCTCTGTTGATAACAGGGCGTGTCGACCCCACCAGGCCCCGTGTGACTGATTGTGACTGACTGTGACTGACACCAAGGAGCCAGTCTATTCCCACCTTCGCAGGTCCGAGCCGATGTGCAGCGGCTTCGCGGTAAACTGAGGAGTACGTATAGGCACATCCATCTGAGTCATGGTGCGGTCGCTTGGCCATTGGTGGGTCAAACATGCAGCACAGTCACGAGGCTTCCACGGTATTTAGCCACGGCAGCGGACAACACCCGTTTCTGAATGTAACCAACATCCGATAGCCTTTTCATGTCATTGTTCAGAAGCTGTGAAAATCAGAGAAACAGTCATCTTGTATTCGTTGAGGCGACATCGATTGCCCACCCGTAGCCACACCACCCCTTGACCCCTGTCACGCCGATATCATCCACTGGCTAAATCGATATCGGGAGGTCCGTCGCACTCGATGAAACGCCAATAACGCCGCGCTTCATCAGTCATGTTGGTATCTATCGCAATTCGGGACTGCCCATGAAGGACAATGAATCTGGAAGGCCCATGCTCAGCAGAGTCCGCATAGCGTCGTGCTCTGGCGTAGTGTGGCGCGCTGATGGTCCCGTGTCGGCATCTGGTCGTTGCAACGGTTTAGTTCGCGGTCCCTGAGGCGTGATGCTTGAACAAGACAACTTCATGCGGTCGGAGAGGTGTGTTACCTGCTGCCGCTCATCAGTGTGTAACCACAGCGCCGGTGGCTTGCCATTTGGCTCAGGGCGAAAAGCAGGCAAGGAGATTGTAGACCGTCGTTGGTCATTGTCGACAATGTCGCCGAGCACTGACCGCGACTTGGTGGATGGCCTTGCCATGACCTCGTCGAAAAACTTCTTTGGTGTGCGACGCCGGGGGTTCTCCTTGATCGCACAGGGGATCGCGCTGAGAGAGGCTCTGTTCCCAGTGCGACCGGGCCTCGCATAGGGAGATTGGGGCCCAGGCATGGGGTCAGGCCTAGGATGGAGCAAGAAAGGAGGCGGCAGCGCGCATCCGTTCATCGGTAGAATAGGTCCGTGAAGATAGGCAGGCCTTGGACCAATCGGCCCAGGTTGCGCTCCGGGAGCTGGATGCGTCTGCGGTTGGGAATCTGAAGTGATGGCCTCGTTGGGCGCCCCTGCTGGCGCCGACTTTCGTGAGCGCTTGCTTCGGGGCTTTGCGGGCACTTTTGCTTCCGTTGGGTCGACTATTCGGAGCTCGTTTGCAGTGCCTGTAGTCGTGTTCCGGCGCTTCTTCATAAACGTCTCCGAGGGTTGCGAGGCCTGTGAGCTAGTCGCTACAACGGACGCTCGGAACTGTGAGCTGGTTGAAGCGTCAGACTGGGTGATGCGCAATCGTGATGTCTTCGGCTTTCTTGCTAGCGCTGGGTTCCCAGTAATCTGATGAAGCTCGTCCATGATCTTGCAAGTCCAATAGGCCCCGTTTTGCTTATGGTCTCGCAAGGCCACAGGATATGTCGGGACCGGTTTTGTTGGTTTCTTCTCCATCTCGCTCGCCTCTTGCCACAGTGCAGGCACGCGAGCTTGTAGATCGGTGACCCACGCGTCACAATCCCACTGTATCCAGTAGTCCAGAATATCACCCCATGTGCTCTCCGGCGGCTTCGTGAGGTTAATGAATATAACTTTGCCTTTACGGTTGTTGTGGATAGCTTTAGCAAACTCGCGGACAATGAACTTCAGTCCGTGCACCCGTAGACTTGTGCCCATAATAAGCATAACATCCGGGCTCAAAGCAACGTCCTTTTCGATAATAGGACCGATCAGGTCTCCGCGTGGGTGCTCCTCGCCGTAGAGAATGATATTCGGCCTCAGCAGACCAACGCCTAGAGCCCGCTTGCCTTTCTCTTCTCGCGCCGTTGTCTCGCCGATGCAATGTGGACATTTAGGCTGCTGGCCGGATATAGTTACCGTCTCTAGGCCGTCCCAGGAAGACTCGAGCTTGCAACGAAAGCAGGCTAGAGTTTCCAACGATCCGTGCAAGTACACGCACTCCACGCCCGCCGCCGGTGGGGCTGCTGGTGGTTGCTGGCTGCCATGTGCCGCCTCTCTGACCATTTTGCTCAACTGGCTAGCGTTGGCTGTAGAGCGACGCGAGAAACGCCCCTTATCGCCTGGGCCCTCGGATAGAGACGTCGACAAGCCCACCTTCTCCTCGATCCTGTCAATGTTCTGCGTGTAGCATCTGACAAGCTTCCCACGGTCTTTGAGGTGCCGTATAAAGTGATGTGACGCGGTAGGCTGACAGTCCCGGACCTTTTGGCGGAGTGAAGTTGCAAACGTGTAAAAGACCGATGTTTTCTTAGGGTCAGCCCAGATTTGAGCATCGAAAAGATCCTTGCCCTTGATTAGGGGAAGCTTGTTGTGGCGCCTGAAAGAAAACTCCGTCTGCTCGTTATCGTCGACGTCGGCATCTGATTCCGATGAGCTTTCGGACCGCAAGCTCATGACAGAGTCGCGGTCAGACAGACTGCTCGATCGCAGGGCGTGAGAATCGAAAAATGCCGCAGGAGGGGACGACAGCGGTGAGGACGGATGCCAAAAGTGACTGGGAGGGGAGGACAGGGGTGAGGTCGGGGCCGGGTTCGCGACGCGTTTTGGTGTTGCCTGTGAGAAGACTTCAACCTTGGTCGATCGCGTGATTCTGCGTCGTTTCGAGGCCTGTTGGGAGTCCTTGTCGTCTGACTGCTCTGCTGCTGCCTCGTTGCCATTTTGTTCTCGGCGTAGCTGCGCGTCCACGACCTGTTGCAGCTCGATGGGCGATTCTTCCTCGGCGTCCGTCGATTGTGAGCTTTGCTGTGACTCCAAGCGAGCTGCTGCATCGTACTGCGCTTGAATTAGCGAGTATAGCCCGTTCTTTGAGCGAAAGTCCGGGATGCCTGAGTTGGTGCTGATGCCGGCTCCAGTGACCACAACCACTTTTCGCGCCTTTAGAATGGCATTGGCAATGTCCTGGAGGTGGTCTTGCGAGGTTGGCTCGATATGAAGCGTCGGCATATTAACGAATCGACGCGTTCACGCGACGCCTAGGCTGTCTACCAATTGGCATTTCTTTGTTTCTTATAGCTGCAAAACTCCTTGTTGTTGTAGTCGTCGCGTTTTGTCGAGGAAGAGCGTGTCGTGTAAGTCGGGCGGCGCGAACCTTGAACGCGGTTACAACAGGCGATAGCCTAGTAGGATGGCACAGGAAGTAATTCTGCGACCGACCCTGGTTTGTCAAGGTGAGCTCTCGGCTCAATTGCAAAGGGGAAGAGATCAGGTGAGGACTGGCTGATATTGCAGTTGGAGGTGACGCGCTTCACCCACCCAGTGCATCTAATTACAGATCTGTTCAATGTTGTTGTTCGCGCCTGCCGCGGGTGCGTATCTTAGCTTCATCGAAAGTGGGGTAGGCGGCTGGTACAGTGAGGTGAGCCACCTGTGGCTGGCCGTGGGGGTCACTTCATTCAAGCATCAGAAATGATTCACGGAGGAGAAAACACATGCACGGAGTAGCGCTGTTCGAATTCTTTCTTATTGCTCATGCAAGCGAGCACAATTCTATATCCTTACTGGTCATGATACAAGGCATCTCGGAACTTTGGAAAGTCTCGTGGCACACCTAGACCGGTGATAGCATCCCAACCCTCCGCCGATTTCCAGCCTCCAGGCTTGCCCTTTTCCTCGAAATCGCAAGATGCACTCGTCCCATTCATGACATCCCGAATGCTGTCCTGGACGGCTGTGTCACTGTACAGCCTCTGGTTGATCCAGCCCAGAGACTTCTTGCCGGCCTTGAACCTGTCCTCGTCGATGAGCGCGACCATAGCGGCTACCACAGGGGTGCTTGCGCTTGTGCCGTCGAGGTTGAACTTTTGCAAGGCAATCGTCACATCAAACTCGGTGCCCACGGCAGAAATATCAGGTGTGGCACGCATACCGGCGTTGTAGTACTCGCTCAGGTATCCATCCAAGCTCGTGACGTACCCCTCAACGGCTTCGTTCTGCCACGATGGTCTCATGAAATACTGCGAGAAGCCACCACCACTGAACGTGGCTCCCTCGGGGGGGTCGATGCCATTGCGGACAGCACCGACCGCCGTGACCCAAGGACATGAGGCAGGGAACACAGCCATAGTGACGGGCTTACCGTCAGCTGTCTGGCAGGAAGAGTTCTGTGCCCCGGCTGCGCCTCCGTCTCCTGAACCTGCGACGATGGTGGTGCCACGGGCTGTTAGAAGACCAAGCATGGAACACACTCGCTCAGCGTATGGCCGTGGAACCGACAACTCGTCGTCCGCATACGAAAACGAAAGCACGTGGGGGATTTCGTCGTCTTCCTTGGCAAGCAGGTAGTCCAAAAACTCCAGGTATGGTTCGTTGCTGGAGTCCTCCTCTGGCAACGGCTTCCCAGTGTCGTTGAGCTGAACACCGCGACCACCGACCGAATAGAAGATGACATTGGAAGGGTAACCGATGGCCATGGCATACTCCACGTCCAACTGCGCCTCTGAACCCGACTTCATGGGGTTCTGCGTGTCTCCGCCCCCGTTGACCTTTTCGATGGTGAAATTGTACCCAGTCCCGGAAATGCTCTTGGCTGTGCGCTTGAGGAAAACCTCGACATCTAGATGATTTGCATACTGCTCCAAAAATCCTGCGATCCCTAGGCGAACAGACGACGAAGTAATGTTTGCTTTGGGGGGCGGGATCTCGTACAGCTCTCGAATGCAGTCTGGGGTTGTCTGGTCGGCACATGGTACATCATCGCGTCGGATCTTATCGCGAGGAGGCGAGGGATGGGACAGCTCTGTCTTTGGCGTCATAAAGTTCGTCACGGGATGGATGAAGCTGATCACCTCAGCCAGGTCGTCGGGGACGGAGTATTCGCGTGTGCGCAACACGGGCGCCTTCCCCTCGAATGAGTAGCGGCCGAGCTTCATATTCAGAAGCTCCTCAGCCTCGTGAGCGGTGGTTTGGACCTTGATCCAATCATCCTGATGCGTTGAGGCAATGCCATACCCGGCAAGCCACTTTTGAACTGCTGCAACGTCCTCGTCTTCTGGTCGTCGTAGTGTCTGCGTCTCTTCCCTCGTCAAGAAACTGGAGGATGGATTGACAATGAGTGGCTCAAGGTCTTGCATCCGAGGCTCCCGCAAGGCGATGGATAGTCGAAGTGGCTGCGCCGCGTCGACAGGCTGTTCCTCAACCGACCATCCCTCGGGGATCTTTGTGGCCTTCTCCAAAACCAAGCACTGGGCAATGCCAGTGAGCATTACCAGCAAGCCACATGCCGAGTGGTGCATTTTCACGATTGTAGTGTAGGAAAGGACTTCGTTGCGGAGGGTGACAGAAAAGGTTTCCGCAACGCGAGAAAGCCGCTTTGCTGATCGTGTTTGCTTTGGGGATGAGGCTGTTGTCTCAAACAGATCCCCACTTGAGCGTTGTTACAGTCGACCCGGACATGTCACATTCTTAACCTCTTTTCCACGTCCAAGCGTCGCCGATCGCCATCTCGCAAGAACGTCGGCGCGTTGATCACGGTTGGCTCGATGCTGGAGACGTTTGACGGAAAGTCGGCTTTCTGTGGATATCCATGACGATCTTGTGGAACCTCGTAAGCGTAGGGGTCTCAATGACAATGCAACAAAGTTTCAACTACCGGGACTCCGTACTCTGTATTGCCTGCGTTAGCAAACTCAATCGCTACATGTCGATGCGCCTCGGTCGCGGATCGAGCATCTTGGGCATTAGAGGTCTAGCATGAAACTTTTAGTTCAAATCTCTCCTGCCTAGAGTTTGATAAGACCTATCGGGCATTTGGGAGTCAGTACCGAGTACTACGTACGTATCTTCAGGTTTCCGTCCTTTGCCATTCAATCATTGGTTCAACCCTTGCTAGGTACTAGTCGGGCATTTCTTCAAGCAGTGCCCAGGACGGTTCCACGAGGGGAGCAAACAATCAAAAATGCTATGAGCATTGCTGGTGCTGTATGGTTATTGTGATGGGAAAAGTACAGGCATTTATCGAGCAAGGGTTTTGGTGACGACTAGAAGCTTTATTTGCCGCTGACTACTCTTGTTCCCCGGTAATTCTAGAGGACCGACTCAACGCGACAGGTGCTCACGAATTGCAGCAGTACAAAATAACACAAATGCATGCATGCATGATTTGCTTCTAAATTTGTCTTATTGCCTTCTTACTATTGGCACTCGGACAGATGCGTACGTAGTCGAATGCCAACTGCTTTTCAGCCAAACATCAACAAGCACTGTGCGCTGGTAGGCGAAGCGTGGCTCCGGAGCCCGCGCCAATAGATGGAAATTCCAGAACGGCGCATCGAAATGCCATAGCGCAATCTGTGGAAGATCATGCGGGATCACCTCCGGTCCAAGCAAAACATTTGCGTGATCACGACGCTTTGCAACGCCGCACGTGCTCTCGAGTTATTGTCGATAGCGCGGCATAATGGCGTCCAACCACGTGGTATAGATAGCATCCCTAGAACTGGACCATCGACTTGAGGCTGTTGATATTACATGAAGACTGGCCGCCCTTGCAGAGAATGAGACAAAAGGGCTGAGATCATTCTGTACGTGTTTTATTTGGATATCACGCAACTGCTGAAGAAATCTCGATCCAGAATCGCGGCATCTGGCGTCGAGCGAGGATGATTGTGTTCCACAGCCATTCCTTGCATTGTGTCCCGCGGAAATGCTCACAATAGCTAGCTCTCCTTTGTCCTCCCTCGACGTCCGCGCTAGCCACCTGGCTACCCTTGTCGCTAGACTCACCACCAGCATCGAGGCGGCCTTGATCCGAGTCGAGTGCGATCTAGTGCGTGTTCCGACGATGCGCAATCTTCCAAAATGGATCGAGTGGGTTATGTTGCTAACCCACATAGGGTCTCTAATTAGGCTTTGGAAAGGAACAAAGATCCAGACCTTCGTCGATAAACTTGCCAGCTCAAAAATCTTAGGACCAATCCAATGTGCAAGACAGCCATCAGAGGGAGGGGACCCTTCCACGACGCTTTCGTAGCCCAAAAGCCCCTTCTCCAGCACCTGTCCCCGTTCCCGGGTCGAATGCCCTTTGGACAATAAGCAGTCAGTACCGCGAGTATGGGCAAGACAATGGCGACAAAAGACCGTTCAGGACAATACAGTAGATGAGGCTCAAGATCACAGTGTCTACATGCGTGGCGACGCTGGTCTTCCCCAGCTTTGCTCCTCCATACAGCCGCTCACAGATGCATCCCAAGGGGGGTCAGCCCGCAGAACGTGGCTTTCTCCGCTGAGCGTGACTTGCCAAGTCTTGTCCACTCGGCCATCCCACGACTCTAGACCACATTCGCAAAGCTGGCGTCGGTCATGTGGATAACAAGGGCAACCGTATAGTGCATGCAAACTTTGCATTCGTAGGGCTGTCCGCTGTGTCCCTCCTGCAGGGAGACACCCTTCGAGATGATGTTTCCAGCTCGCCCATAACTCAGCTCAGCCAGTCTTACTAGCGTCGCTCGAGGTGATTCCACTCATGATCTCAGATGAGCGGCTCAAGCGGCAGTCTTATGATTCGTGCCACGGAGGGAGCTGAAATATATATAAGATGATCCCATGTGAGGTGCGCCGCTCGCTGATGGGGTCATTGCGATAGTGACCCATCTCCAGATCCATCAAGGAAGAAGAAAACTAGTCTCGCTGCATATCGAGTCATGCAAGATCCCGCACAACAACCGCGGCGACGCTGGTCATATACCTCCAAGGCCACTTGTGGTCTCATCAAGCCTTCGGCGGATGCGCCAATACCCAAGGCATCAACATCGTCGCCGACTCGGCCTGTGCAGACGCAGCAGCGCAATGTCGTGACACCGTCGGACTCAACTCAGCCTCGCGCTCTCCGCAATCAGCCCAACTCAACGACCAAAATGCCGAGCACCATGCCCCAACGCAAGCCTTCTCTGAGGGAACGATTCTGGACTGTCGGCGCCGCCAACTCCGCCGTCGAAAAGGATCGCGAGCAAAGGCGAAGAGCATACGTCCCTCGCCAAGCAGCCTCTGGCTTCGAAAAAACAGCCTCACCACTAAAACGCGAGTCAGAATATATTACTGCGGCGTCAAGCAGAAGACGCAGTCCGGGGGACGATGAGTATCAAGCTCTCGTGCGGAAGGAGGAGGCCAGAGACTTGGCAGAGCAGCTCTATGGCGAGAAGAGACCAGGCAGCAACCCGGCCGGTGTCAGGAGGAGGCCAAGCAAGGTCGTGCGGATGATCGCCGAGTATGTGAAGCCACCGAGGGAGGGTGATTGAGAGATGGCGGCTGACAGGCTGAACCTGCGTGGCTATGAGAATACCAGATAATGATTGCGCTGTGCATGTATCATTAGAAGCAGAGCAACGATTTGCTCAACTCTGGCTAATACATGTCCTAAAATTCGTTCCCAAGACGCCCCAAACTCTCCTAAGCTCAGCCCACATTCCACAAATTCAACTATATGAACGCTGACCCCGTAGATCCAGACAGCGGAATACCGCAGCGGCGAACTCAGCAACAATGCGCGCCATCCAGGCATGCGGCACATACACAAGCGGTCCCAGGCAAGAACTCCAGACAAACATGATCATCGAACAGGACTCGAACAGAGTACTCGTCGACAGCAGCGGGTATCATAGCAAGCAATTTCCGGCTACTCGATTGCCAGAAACGGGTAAACATCAAGCGTGTATAGCCCCCACGCCGTTTCTCCGAGGAATCTGGATTTCCTCATCGTCAGAGCTGTTGTTTCCATCGTCGCCTCGATCGAGCATCCGGTCTATATCTTTGTCGCTCATTGGTTTTCGGAGGGGGACGTGCGTGATACCTAGAGCGCTGGGCAAGGACATCGCGCTCCGCACGTGTCCTCCGGCATCGGTCCTCCTTCGCGACATCCCACGAGGGCTATCGCGGTGCGGAGAGTCAAGCTCCATCGGCGAGCCAGGAGCGACCGCCTGGCCTGGCGAAGCGTCGAACCCAACCCGTTTGGCACCTTGCCCCGTCTTCTGCCCAGGAAGTGCCTTCCTAGGCCCAGTTGGCAAAGGCTGGCGCGTCGTGCTCTTGGGAATAGGCTGGGAGCTAGGCCCGGGTGAGCCTGCCGGGGAAAAGGAATGCTTTAAATTAGCCGAGTTGTTGGGGCTGCTCATGAACAATAGCGTCTCGATGGCATCCTGTTCTCGATTGTTGGGCTGTGGTAATTGCACTTGCGCCCCTGGTCGTAAGAGGTTTGTCTGAAGGGCCGACAGCTGCGCTGGTGTTCGAGGTCCACCGGCAGAACGTGACTGTGAGAGCATTGTAGGGGTATAGCGGGTGTTCGAATTGCGGCGAGGATGTGAGCCGGTGGGCGCCATACCAACTGACGGCCGGATAGACGCTGGGGGCGCGAGACCTTGTTGATGTCCAAGGCGCGGCGGCGAGTTGGACTTTCGTCTGGGTACTGGGCCGTCGACAAAATGAACCATGGGCCGCGCGCCCATCTGCGGACTGGCAGACGACCCATTGCGGCGATGACCAGGGGTAGAAGTGCTAGAGGTTGGCGATACGCCTTGAGAGGCCAGTGTCTCGACTTCATTGAGAGAGCGATACTGCCAGCCGTTGTTGACCTTGATCATGGCATATGACAGACGCGTCTTGAGATCGTGTGATAGCTGTACAGTGTCAGCCTGGGCCCTGTCCAGTGACGCCAGAATACTCACATCGCCAATCGTGCTAGCAGTCGAGATGGCGCTCACAGCGCTTGTATTTCGAGAGTGTCCTTTGTTGCAACTCTTCACCTCGCCATCCGCCATCCGTTTCCTCGAAAGAACATCGCCTTGACCGGTTGACATCCGATCCTGGGCAGCCGCGAGAGCCGACAGCTGATGCAGCTGGCTCGCCTCGCTGACGACTGCCGGTCTTGTTGTTAGTGGTACGTCGCGTCTATGTGCGTCTGTATCGCTGGCTGTGGGTGTAAAAACATGATCTGAATGGGATGTGGCATTGGAAGCCTGCGACCCCTCAGCGGACCGAGGATCGCTCTGTGAGAACCGCTCGTCAGTATAGTGTGGCGCTGTTACAGCTTTGTCGTCGTAATTGTTGTTTGTCGAGACCGGAGTGTGTGGGATAGCAGAGCCCGCGTACATGTTCGTCGTGGTGGGTGTCTCAGTACCGCGGCCGTCTGCATACCTTGTGGCGGAGATGGAGGACGCGACCGTCGCGTTGCCGACCCCAGCGCCGGGACGGTCGAGCCCAGTGGATGCCATGAGGCAGTCGATTATTTCAGTCGCGTATTGGCAATATGGGACGATCGGGTCTTCGCTGTCCCGTCTCGAGCGTGGTGGGATTGAACTTTGAAGTGGCAACGTAGGGGGTCGATTGCGTGGAATAACAGCGCGACTGTAGTGGCACGCTCGACCGCGTGTTTGGTGGAGCGGCTGACGGGGTTCGTCAGGGTACGAGTATGTAGCGACGAGGGTTCACCACAACGGCCAAGGAGCAATGGATAGAGATATATTGTGCGATCGTTGAATTGGCGATCTGGCTCTTCGCGAAGGTAGTGTAGTGTAAAGGTCACGGGTCGAACGCCAGGTGCCCAGCTTGAGCGACTCTTTCCTATGACTCTTGTGCGTGCTGGTTTACGCGGTCACCGCGACGGATGCGGGAGGTGCCACCCACTACGAGTCGGGTCCCGCCTTCCCCAGTCCCACTTGGGTTTCGACCGCCCGAGTCTCGATGAAGGTCTATTCCATCTTGCGAGATTGTTACAGATATTTTGACCAGCTGGATCGCGCCGATGGAAGCTGGGCTAAATATAAGAAGAGTTGCATTGCTTCCACTAGGCCGAATGCTGTAGCAACGCTGCTTGTGCTCATCCATTGGCATACGGCAAGGGTTGAAACCGCGCAACATCCTTGCAAGTGCATACTCAAAGCCCCCAGAGCAAAGTTGGGTCCATCATTCCGTACTCGTTGTGTACCATGAGTAGTAAAGTGAATCTTAACACATGCTGCGCGTCGACTTCTCATCTACATACATGTATGGTACGTGATCGCAACTTGAGCGGACAATGACGTCTTCCCGCGCCTGTGACAGGTTCCATCGAGCCGCGTGGTGCCGCAGGATCGCGTATCAGCAGACACGTTTTGTTCAATCAACCACTAGCCCCTCAAAGCTCTGGCCTTGGCGGGGGAAGGCAAATCTTGAGGGCCTAATTAGCCTGTTGGTTGTATCTGGTCGCATGGAAACATTTGCGCGAAACGTTGTCAATTTTCCCTGCCAACTCAGCCCGCTCTGGAATGATTGTAAGATGCTCGCCCATGACACGAAGTCACGTGGTCTCCCGTCATAATCTCGAAGCAGGTTCAATCTGGTACACGCGGTGCTGTGCGCTGATGAGGCTGAATCAGCTGCGCTATCCACACTCAGGCTCATCGTCCATTCCTGTGTGCCCGCGCACCCCGCCGTCTAGTATGATATCTTCGTTGTTGTCTAGGTCATCTTGAACCCGCCGCCAGCCCGCCTGGCGTGGTCTCCTCCCCTCGAGTTCCGGCCCTTTGCCCTTGGCATTGAACACTGGCTTGATAAGTGCACCTAGCAAGGGATTGCCGCTGAAGGCGCCGCCTCCAAGTCTGCCCTTGTTGGCTGTCGGCTCAGGCACGTCGTGGTCGTCCATCTCGTCGTTCTCTTCGTAGCTCTCCGGGGTTTGTGGTCGTTCTATGGCAGCCATCTTGCGCGTCACCTTCCTCCCTTTGAGATCAATACTCACAATCTGTTGCCTCTTTTCGTAGTCTGGTTTGGCATTCCACTCCATTTCGCGCATCAGCTTCTGCTGTCGCTTGAGCTCTTTAGCCCTGTCCTCAGGAGTGGCCCACATACTCCCACCTGTCCCAGCCATTGCTCCGCTGACGTCGAAATCGCTTGCCTCGTCACGCACCGTGGTTCTTCGAGCGTTCTGCGCCTGGAAATTGAGAAGCTTGTCCCGGTGCTCACGTGCCTTCGCTTCTGCTTCGTTTACCGGGCTTTCGTTCCCGCGAGGCTTTGTAAAGGGTGCCGGGGTCTTTGCAACGTCCGCTCGGCGATTTGCTTTGGCATCTGCAGCCATGAGCTCACGGCCGCGCTCCTCTCTAAGTTCCCTCATCATAGCCTGCACCTCAGCCGGCTTGAGCAGAGGCGTCCCACAGAATGTACATGGCCCGAGCCCCTCCTTCATGCAAATGACCTTGCCGCACGTCAAACAGTTGGGTGCTGCGCCCTGGAGAGGATGTCTCGTTGCAACGCAATTGCACTTCCTTGCCTCTGTATTATCCAGTGTTGGGTTTGTCGTGATCTCCAGGGCTCGTATCGCGGACTCTAAATCTGCCAGTGCTGTAGATTGTCCCGCCATAGGTGTGCCGCCAGCTATGGTAATCTTTGTACTCGTTTTGGCTGTCGGTTTCGGTGTCGAGCTTCGCGATGTGGGCGTAGACTTTGGCTTTGACTTTGACACTGGATCCGAGATCAGGAAGCCGGCAGAAGGTCGCTCCCTTCGAGTCTGCTCCGCTGGGGTGCTAGAACCAGAGGCATGTTTGCTATTTGGCAAGCTCGCGCGCGACACTGTAGGCATATACTCAAGCTCCTCATCTTTCTTGTTGTAGGCCTTGCCGGCGGGTACCGTGTAATCGAGCTGACGTGCTGGTAGCTGGCCAATCGGGGGCTTTTTCTTCTTCGCCTGGCCACGTTTCGACTTGGGGACAGAGTCGATATCCGACGCGGATGCAGATGCGGGTTGTGACACAGGTGCTGATGAGTTCGAGGCAGCGGCAATCTCCTTCCGACGAGAGTTGAAGGAGGCGATGAATTCAACCGCTTGGGGGCTGTTGCCGAGAAGGTTACTGAAGTGGGATGCCGCCTCGGCTTTTGGGAGCGATGCGCCGTAGTCTAGTACTTGCTGCAGCTCCTCGTTCGGGAGTGGCAGCAGTTGCGCTAGCTGAGCGAGCGACATGCTTCAGAGTTCAAAATCGTCCCTCTAGGGAAGTAGGGCAAGGAAGAGAAGCTGTCCTGGTTGCCAACACTTCCTACCAGTTGCTGAAGTGGTGACGTTGGTTCATCCCCACCACAGCGAAGAAACAGAAGCCTACCCTAAACATGACTCATTCGGCGTCATTCAAGTTCTGGGTCTCACTTTGGCCGTGAATTGTTGAGCTGCCAGGGTAGCTCTGAGGCATCTATTCGGTTTTTTTTTTTTCTTTTTTTTTTTTTTTTTTTTCAGATTGGTACAGGAAGTAGTTTGTCCATGCTGACGCCTGTATTAGACACTTTGAAGAATTGGGTGCACAAAGGTTGTATGTGAGTGTAATGGTAGCTTGAGCAGGAAGACGACGTGGACAAGAGGTTGACACACATAAACAATGGTAAACTTGCATAAAAGAGACGCCTTAAATCTGAGTAAGCAGATTTAAAGTCCCGTTGCTTTCCATCCAAGACATCATTCAATAGTATATTTGTCCTGCTGTTGAATATTTACTCCATAGTAGAGCCTCAGGTTCACGGGCCAGCCACCTGGCCAATGCCGCTAATTACCCGGGGCCAATGCCGAGCCAGAGCCGCTTGACTGTCATTGGCTCCGGCTGGCCACACAAGCAACAGCTGTCCGCCTCGGACGGGACACAAGCCACCGCAATCCCCCGACGTCCGTCCATCCATCTTTTTTCCTTGCGAAAACCACGCATCGCCATCTTCCTCCCTTTTCCCACATTGTTTGATCCACCTCTTCTTTTAGATACCCTTTCATCAATCCCTTCAAGATGATGCTCGCTAGCAAGATCCAGCGCCGGGCCTTTTCCGCCACGGCTCGCGACGTACGTTCCTAGCTCTCCTCCCTCAGCAGCCTCAACAATAGTCCGTACCATCAGTTTGCTGACGTGCCGCGCACAATACAGCTCTCCAAGGTTGCCGTCCTCGGTGCCTCGGGTGGCATTGGCCAGCCTCTCTCCCTGCTCATGAAGCTCAACCCCCGCGTCACTGACCTCGCTCTCTACGACATCCGTGGCGGACCCGGTGTCGCTGCCGACCTTTCGCACATCAACACCAAGTCGACCGTCACCGGCTATGACCCTACCCCTACCGGCCTCGCTGCCGCAGTCAAGGGCGCCGAGGTTGTCCTCATCCCCGCCGGTGTCCCTCGCAAGCCCGGCATGACCCGTGACGACCTCTTCAACACCAATGCCTCCATCGTCCGCGACCTCGCCAAGGCCGTCGCCGAGTCCGCCCCCGAGGCCAAGGTCCTCATCATCTCCAACCCCGTCAACTCGACCGTCCCCATCTGCGCCGAGGTCTTCAAGGCCAGGGGCGTCTACAACCCCAAGACCCTCTTTGGTGTCACCACCCTCGACGTCGTTCGCGCCAGCCGCTTCGTCTCCGAGGTCAAGAAGACTGACCCTGCCGACGAGAACATCACCGTCGTCGGCGGCCACTCTGGCGTCACCATCGTGCCTCTCTTCAGCCAGAGCAAGCACCCCGATCTGACCTCCAACGCCGACATTGTCAAGCGCGTCCAGTTCGGTGGTGACGAGGTTGTCCAGGCCAAGGACGGTGCCGGTTCCGCCACCCTCTCCATGGCCATGGCCGGTGCCCGCATGGCCGAGTCCGTCCTCCGCGCCGTCCAGGGCGAGAAGGGTGTCGTTGAGCCCGCCTTTGTCGACTCGCCCATCTACAAGGACCAGGGCATCGACTTCTTCAGCTCCAAGGTTGAGCTCGGCCCCGAGGGTGTTGCCAAGATCCACCCCATCGGTCAGGTCGACGCCAACGAGCAGAAGCTCCTCGACGCCTGCCTGGTCGACCTCAAGAAGAACATTGAGAAGGGTGTCTCCTTTGTTGCCTCCAACCCCGGCAACTAAGCCTCGCGCGGGCCTTCTTGTATACGTATCATCTTAATCACGAGAGACGGGGAATTATGAGCCTGGTTTCAGAAGATCAGCGTCTTTGTATCATAGCCATGAAATCAAACATTATGACCTTCTCTTATAATTTGGTCGTGTCCATTCTCATCTGGAATGTATCTATCGTAGTATACACAGTCTTTCACATCTACTCTATTACGGCTTGCCATAGTGCAGAGCCGGCCTAGTTCTGCCTTCCAGCCCTCCAGTTCTCAAGCGCCCGGCGACGCTCCTCTACCTTGCGCTCAAACTCGAGCACTTTTTCCTGCGCCTTCTTCTCGTCCTCCTCGGCCTTCTTCTTGGCCAAGACCTCCTTCCTAGCCATCTCACGCTCGAGCTGATCGGTGCGACGCTCGGCAATGTCGCGCGGGCGGAAGTCGCTAAAGCCCCACTTGAGACCTCGTTCGATGAGCCAGCAGAGACCAAAATCAAGAACCATGGACGCGGTCATCTTGGTCTTGAACTCCTCGGTAAAGGGCACGAGCTTCATCTGCTGGTTGATCTCGGGGATGAGCTCCATGGCGCAGACAAAAGCAAGGCCAGAGACACCGACAATGCCCCAGTACATGCCCTTGTTCTCCGACAGGGACTCGCGGAAAGGACGACCCTGGTAGTTGATGGCAAACGTGGAAATTTGCTGGATGAGCTGGAGCAGGTAAATGGCAGAGTTGAGCAGAGACGGGCTGAATTCGGCCTCGAGGTCGACATCGTCACCGGAACGACTGCATTTGTTAGCTTTATCAGTAGATATATACATGTGGAGTTGGACGTACGGTTCAATCTTCTCGCTGAGGCGGGCAATGTAGATAAGCGTGCCAATGTGCACTGCGAATTGACCCAGAATGGAACCGATAATGTACACATTGAAGATGTTAGGCTGAGGACGCTCCTTGCTGAGACCCTCTACAACGCGGGCGCGAGAGATGGATAGGAAGCAGACAGACATGAGCATGCCACTGATCGTGTACTGCGTGTCGCCAAACTTGATGCCCTCCAGGTACAGAACAGATAGGGAGTAGGCGCTGATGAGGCAGTTGAGGGCGAGGATCTTGTACATCTGGATCGTAGCGACGAGCGTGCAGCGACCCTGGCGAATGATGTTGGGGATGGCGATGACATTGCGGAGCTTGGAGGTGAAGGGGGCGGCGACAGACGCATCACCGAGCTTCAAGGTTGGTGGCTCGGTATCATCAAGCTCGCTCTCCATCATGCTGGTCGACAGCTGGTCGGCGAGGCCGGCAGCCTTCTTCATGGCATCCTGCTGCTTCCTGTTGCCGCTGTTGGCGATGAGGTCCTGGGCGCCAGGAGAGGTGATGGTCTCGGCAGGGTGACCCAGAGACTTGGTGTACTCGTCGATGGACATGTTCTTCTTGTTGGCCTCTCGTTCGACGGCCTTGGAGAAGTGGGGGTTGCTGGGACCAGGGGGGTAGAGGTGGGCAATGATGACAGGCACGGGGGGTGCAGGCTGGTTGAAGCGCTTCATCAGATCACACTGCTTCTGGTACATTTCCTTCATCTTGGTGTTGCGCGAGTGCTCGGCAATGCGGGTCAGATCGTCTTGAGTTCCGTTGAGCAAGGCCACACCAATGTGTGCTTGCTTGAGCGCGCCGACGTCGTTGGTACCATCTCCAGCCATCAGCGTATAGTAGCCCATGTCCTTCAGACCAAGAAGAATCTCTTCCTTTTGCTTGGGAGAGACACGAGCATACACCCAGGTGTGGCGGAGCAGCTGGCTCCATCCGGGCTGTCCCGCAAACTTGGCGAGGGCATACCCCGTAACGCAAATGTCCTTGTCCTCGATAATCTTGGAATCAATAGGCTTGGTGGGATCCACAGAAATGGAGATCTTGTCGTCAACGCTCTTCCAAACCAGGAGATCGCCGCCGTCGTTGTCCTCAGGTGCGTCGAGAATAAGAGCATCACGATCCACAATCTCAACTTCGCGAGCGACGTGCACGGCAGTGAGAGGGTTGTCTCCGGTAATCATGACGACGCGATGGCTGCTCTCGTTAAGCATCTGGACAGCCTCCTTGGCATCTTCCTTGAGGGGACAGTGGAGGACGAGGAAACCAGCAAAGATGAGATCAGACTCAACTTTTTCACGCTTCAGATCGTTGATTTTCGATGCGCCGAGCTCCGAGTCCATGGTGAGCTGCTTGTAGGCCAGGGCCAGGACACGCGAACCCTTGCGAGTGAAATACTTGTAGGTCTCTTCGTAGTCAGTGGGCACCTTGACCAACATCTTCATAATGGTCTCGGGCGCACCCTTGACACCGGCAAAAGTGCCCTTGATCTTCTGACCAGTGGCGGAGTCGGTACCGTGGACCATGGCAACAGAGCTCTGGCGCTTGAGAGCCGAGGAGAACTGGAAACGACGCTTAATCTGCACGTTGCCATGAGCACCGCCAGCCTTGTTGGTACTGAACAGTTGATCATTCTTGCCAAGATTCCAGCCAAGAGAGCCCAAAGTTGCCTTCTCCATGGGGTCACCGACCACGTCGCCTTCGTCGAGCTTCACGAGCGCATGTGCAGTTGCCAGAACCAGCTGAGTCTCGAGCGCGGCGTTCTTAACTGGGGTGATGGTTGAGTGAGCACCATCTCCTTCTCTCTTGTCGGGAACCTCTTCATGTGTCAGCCCCAGACCAGCGATACCCTCGACTACCAAATCCTCGCCAGTCAGGGTGCCAGTCTTGTCGAAGCAAGCCACGTCGATGCGGCCAGCAAAGGGAATGCGGAAAGGCTCGGTGCAGAAGATGGCTAGCTTGGCAAGAGCCGCCAAGCTGGTGTTGACGGCGAGACTCAGCTCCATGGGCAGCTCAGGCGGGACGACACTGGTGACAATCAAGATGCAGTCGAGGAGAAGCTTGGAGCGCTTGCGGTCCTTGCGAACACCTTCGTCCCAAACATACCAGGAGGCAGCAATGGCGAAGACCAGCAGGAACAGGATGAAGTAGAGTGCCTCGGCATCTCCAGCGCCAACACGCTCGGTGGAGTAGATCATGGTGCGGACAAGGCTTCCCTGAGACGTCTCAAAGCCAGTTTTGACAACGATAGCCATGGCACCGTTGTCCGGGGGCGTCGGGACACCAGATGCCAGCTTGGGCTTCTCGACATCAGGGTTGCCATGCGTGATCTGAAGGACCTTGGTGCCGCCCCAAAGGAAGGAGTTCTTGTCGAGACCCTCAGGCTCAAGGGGAGCATCAGAGGGGCGAAGCTGGATGGAGTCTTTGAGGAGAGGTGTACTTTCACCAGACAGCATGGCTTCGTTGACGATGGCCGTGCCCTCCACCAGAAGCATGTCGCATGCAACGCCGCTGTCTTCCTTGGTACGTCCGACGGAGACCAGGTCGCCTGGGAGGAGCTTGTCGCTTTGTGTCTCAGCCCACTTGCCGAGTCGGAACACATAGATACCGTAAGGCTGGATGCTCATACCACGGAACTCGGTGAGGGTACGCTGTCGCTGCCAAACAACGGTGCTTTCAAAAGCCACCAGCATGAAGAGGGTGAACAAAGAATAGTACCAGTATTCGTCGAGCAGCCAGAGACCAACACAGAAGATCTGGAAGACGAAGAATGGCGCGACGGCGTGCTCCTTGAACAGCTCCGTAAACGTTGGCACGGGGATGTCGAACGTGTTCGTGCCATAGTGTTGCTCGATGCGGTTGACCTCTGATTGCTTGTCGATACCGCGCGAGGACTGGTATTGGCCAATCTTGGGCTTGGGCTCAGCATCGATCGAGTACTCAAGTGTTCGGAAAGACTTGGTCGCGTTATCGTAGAGGAAACGGCGTTTCTGGAAGAGGAACGAGAGGTTGGTCTGGCCGCCGGCCTTGTCGCGCACCAACTTGCAGATATCGCCGGCGCCGGCGTTAGCGACGGGAAGAACCTTGATCAGCTGGGCATCCTCGATGGACTGGGCCTTGGAAGCCGTGAAGCGTGCGGCGAGATTGATGCTCCAGTGGGTGCTGAGCCAGAAGAGGGACTGGACGGTGATGATGGCAGCACACCATACAAAAGTCCACTCCTCTCCGCCAATCCAAATATCATAAAGTTCTTGCGTCAAGTAGTAGCGTGCGAAAATGGGCCAGACAATGGCAAAGGGCCATATGTAGGCATGAAGAAAAAACGGAAGGGGTCGAAGCAGCTCGGCTTGCGAGATTTGAGCGCTGTCGACGAGAGGCGCCATGGTGGCGGTTGTGTCGATGGTCTTGTTGACGATAAACCCTATACCATCAGACAAGATGCCAATGGAACGGCGGAAGTATGAGCGAAAGCGACTGTTTGGCGACGCCGTTGTCGTGAGCAATAATCAGTGAAGGCGACCGTGGGGTCGATTCTGTCGAGGACACTTTTCGGCTTCGCTAGAAATCCACAGGGTTCGTGTGGCGTTGGGGGGAGTTCTGCGGGGGGAGGCATGTGGCGCACGCGCTAGACTGGTGGCGCAGTATGTTCACAGTGTACGTACCTAGGGCGCGTCTTGATGTCGCATCTTGGACCAGACTCAGACTTCTCATCGGTATGAACGTTCGCGTTCCACTCATCGTCGAGATATCTTATTCTCTGGCCTCTTCATTTCAACTCGCCTGACCCAGCGCCACGGGAAAGCATGTCGTCACATGTCAAGGCTGATATGCTGGGCCCGACACCAGGTTCAGTGTTGGGTCTGGGTGCGAATCACTCGGCCCCGAATCTGACCTAAGCGTCGAAGAGTCAAACCAGGGCGGAAGATTCCATCATTCTGTCCGGGATATTTCAATGCTGCGCTCAAGACTCTGAGCAGACTAACGTACGGAGTAGAGAGTGTTGACTGGCGACCGTGGATGCGGGCCGGCTGCCGTACGCAGTACGTGAATTCCATGTGACGCGTGGATCATCGGGACTAGATGCGTTCCGAAATGAGCCTATTCTCGATATGTGTGCCTCCGAGGTGCTCTGGAAACATCGCGTGGCCCGTGTGGGCTCGCGCCAATGTGATTGCATCTCGTCCAAACAGGATCGGCAGCTCCCCGCCTGGAGTTGATTGGAGCGTGGCACTCCCAAGGGAAAATGGCCACGATCATCTTCTTTCTAGGTAACGTTATGGGGGTTTGTTGTTTGAAGTTGCCGCAGGGAATCCAGCCGTACTAAACCAGGAGAGGCTCGGAGGATGAACTCCCGTCCCGGTGGATAGGAGCAGCATGCCGGTAGCGATTTAACTCAACGGGGCCAAGTCACGGATTCGGTATATAAAACAAGGAATCAATGCTCAGACAGTTTGGGACACTCACGACACTTCTGCCACATCAAGCCTCCAAGCTACAATCCTCGCCATTATGTCCCCTTCCATCCTCAAGACCGCCCTTCTCGTGGCCTCTGCCACCGCCCCCGTCCTAGCCGCCTCTGGCAGTGGCAAGACGACCCGTTACTGGGACTGTTGCAAGCCCTCCTGCGCATGGCCTGAAAAGGCAGCAGTCAGTTCCCCAGTCGGCATGTGTGACGCCCAGTGGAACCCTTTCAACAACCCTGATGCTACCAGCGGCTGCGATGGCGGCAACGCCTTCACTTGTGCCACTTACTCGCCTTGGGCTATTGATGACAACCTCGCCTATGGCTTCGCGGCAACCGCAATCTCGGGTGGTTCTGAGTCGTCCTGGTGCTGCGCCTGTTACCGGTAGGTGTATCCCTCCAAGCCCGGAAGACTAGCAGTTGACTGACATGCACAGCCTCACCTTCACCTCTGGACCAGTTGCTGGCAAGAGCATGGTTGTGCAGTCGACGAACACTGGCGGTGACCTCGGCAGTAACCACTTTGACATCCTCATGCCTGGTGGTGGTGTCGGCCTGTTCGACGGCTGCACTCCGCAATTTGGGGGTCTCCCTGGTGCCCGGTATGGTGGGATCAGCTCCCGCAACGAGTGCGAAAGCTTCCCTGAGCAGTTGAAAGAGGGCTGCTACTGGCGCTTCGACTGGTTCCAGAACGCTGACAACCCAGATATTCAGTTCGAGCAAGTACAGTGCCCTGCTGAGCTGCTCAACGTATCTGGGTGTAAGCGCCAAGATGATTGCAGCTTCCCCCCTGCTTAAGCACGGGCTCTGCTGGCCCCTATTTGGAGTGGCGATGGGGCTTCCGTGGACAATATTCTCAAGGCTAAATCCCTACTATGGTCACTTCGAAGATGGGTGTCACACAACATGAGCAAATAGCCATGTAATTAGAGAAGCAAGTCTAACCACTAACACTACGTCAGCTTGCATTGGCGTATCCGTGCTTCTTGCCTACGGCGCTCGTGAGATGGTGGTCTTGGTTTGACCAAGTAGATCGAGCCACTGTGAATATGCCTACACCTAGGGATTTTGGGTATAAAAGCACAAATCCCATACTTGAGTATTGGCGATTGTCTCGGCGGCCTTGTCCTTCCCATCCTCTCTCCATCGCCAAAGAGGCGGGCGTTCTTGCATGATATCACCCACTGCGTACAGCAATACGCTTCTTATCGGTCTGCTCATCGACATCATTATCAGGGCAGATGATGTAGAATTGGACCTTCGGCATCTTCCTATAGAGGTAATCGGCTACCTGCTCCGGTGTCCATGCACCCGCAGGCTTCTCCTTGCCAGATGCGGCTCCCGTCTGCCCACAAGTTAACATGTAAGCTCCACGACAGGTGCACTCTGGGGCCTACCAAGCCGGTGTGAGTCCGGCCAGCGTCCAAGAGGTGAGCGCTCGTCTTAGTATCTCCGAGATCCAAGCTCAGCTGTTCGGCGAGCGACTTGACAGTGGCCTTGGTGGCATTATAGGCGGCATTTCCAGGCGGGTTGGTGATGCCCTGCTCACTGCCGGTGATCACATTTACTGTTGGCTTTGCTTCCGAGGCCTTTCTCACCACGGGCAGAAAAGCGCCGATGCCGTGGATGACGCCAAAGACGTTCTTCTCGAGGGTCTTGACAACGTACTCCTGGTCGCCCCATGAACCTTGCATAGCTTTACCCGCGTTTAAGACCAAGAGCTCGATGCTCCAAATTCCCTCGCGACCTCCTTCTTGAGCCTGGACCAATCGAAAATGTTGGCCACGTCGACTATCGACGTGTGAACGATGCCATTGATCTGCTTCTTGGCGGACGCGAGGGCTTCCGCGTTACAATCTACAAGGATAACGTCCATGCTCTTACTGCCGCACAGCTCAGCGGGACAATCCGCAGAATCGGTGCGATCGTCTCACCCGACCACTCACCTACTTAGTTCGTAGTCCTGGGTCTGGGTTGGAAGCCACCAACCATACATCGCACCCCTCGAAAGCCTTGTTAAGGATGTGAGGCAGTATTGAGCCAGGCAGTTGAAGGAGAGGGTGGCTTGCGAAGTTGATCAGGAGATGGATCCGACTAAGAATGACGTCCAATTCGCCGAACATCGTCGGGAAAGTAGGGTATTCACAGTGATTTGTCTGCTTTTTCTATACTTACTTCGGCTGTTTCGGCTGCTTTAGCTTCATTCATATAAATCGGTTGTTTCTTCTGTATTGTCTACTTCTATTCAAGGTATGTCTTCTTGTAATCTTCAAATTATCGGTCGTGAGGTGGTGGGCCCCGATGTGCATGTAGTTGTCGCCGCCCTCCCCGCCAGTATGCTACACACGGCGCGATCGGATCCCCGACTTCTAGCAGTTGATTACCTCCCCGCTAGAGAGTACCCGAGTCCCATTGTCTAAAAGTCTCTGCGGTGGCCGTTCCCAGTTCAGGACCTTATCACCCCCATCCCACACATCCTGCCGCCTCTCATACCACTTGTCCACGGTAAAGCAGAACGGCTGCCCATATGCATTTTTCAGAGAAATGGTCTTCTGCGGGGGCTTGGGCCTGGACGGCCAATCAATGGCCCTTGGAAAGTCGCCTCGATGGACGGGATGAAGGTCTCCCGCCCTTCAGTCCTGCCATTCTTGCAACAGAAGCTGATATGATGCAACTGGATGGTCTAGCTTCACCTCCGGATGCTTCACCCACTTTAATCCGAGGTTGTCGAGGCTCTGATCCTCGTGAGGCATACTCCGGAGACTATTGTCTTGGGTAATAATCTCATAGGTGGTGAATATAACGCCTTTGATGTCATTCCGGTCCTCGAGGTAATTCTCACCCTTCCCAGGTGAAGGGTAATTGATGCGGGCTGCAAAGTTAAAGTCAAAGAGCCTGACAGAGTCTGTCGGCTCGTCAACGAGGAGGTTCCGTGGGGCGATGTCTTGGTGCGCGATGCCGTATTCGAGGTTTAAGTCGTCTACAACCTTTATAAGCTGCTGTAGCCACTTCAGTCTGAAAACGCGCGACTTGTTCTCCTCTAGATTGCCGCCAGGCACGTAGCCGCTAGTGAATCCGACCACACGACCTTCGAGCTCGTCAATAACAATCCGGTCAAACGGAACAATGTTTGGGTGGCATGGAAGACGCATCCACAAGTTCATTTCCTTCCAGGACACTTGTGCATACTGCCACAGGAAGTACTATCTGAAGACGACCTGCCCAAGGGTCAGCTTAATCACAGGACGAGACAATCCAAGATCGGCACCTAGGTTTCACCTTTTTAGCAGATCCTCCCAGGCATGGAGGGTATGCAACAAGGTCCGCGTCAGGACCAAGCCTCTCGAAGTCCTCAAGTTCTTCCCGCCGCACTGTCTGAATTCCTTCCGGAAGAAAAGTGTCATGAAGGGATGGATAATGCACGCAGCAGGTCTGATCGTTTTTCGAATCGGTATACGTCGAGATGATCTCGCCGGTAGGCGATACATAGATCCTGCGGATGTCGGGAGATAGTTGATTGCTATGGCGGCTGAAATGTTCAATGGCAAGACTGTCGTCGTCTTGCTCCCCGTCCATGGTTACCAAAACGACCCGTCTCTGGTCCCAATCGACAACGTGCCAAGTGCCCGGCCCACCGACAGGAATATCGCCTCTTAAGGAAAAATACTTAGAATCGTCGTCAACCATGTTGCTGTGTTCTTTGGTAATCAAGGCGTGGGGATTGAAGAGGAACGAATGGGCATTGTGGGACCAGTTTCCCGACGCTCGCAACCTCATCAATAACCTTGTCTTTGTTGATCAATCGTCAGTCATGGTGAGAGACCCTCGCTGGACTGACGACCAGGCGGCGGAAGTCTCAGCTATCATCACCCCGAACGGGGTGTATGACTTGGCCAACGACATGGGAGCTCAAACGCCACCCCTTGTGAGGAGTATGTTTACCGACACTATCTCCGAGTTCGACTACGAATGGATCCTGTCAGAAAATCAGAAGATGAGCGACGAAAATGCGGCCGCTTTAGTTACGGATCATTCGTTCAGGGATTGACGTGATGCACTCCCGCGAATCAATGAGTTCCTACCATGGTCCTCGCGGGAAAAGTCAGTATCTTCCGGGCGTCCGGCGTCGAGTGGGTTGCAGCTTAGATACCTGGCGCGAAGCATTATACCTCTTAGCCGAAATGAAAGGAAGTCACTTCGCGTTTTGGGAGAATCCCGAAAAGTCCAATTCTGTGGTCAAAGACTTCGTTACACAAGGAGCCTAACCTGTAGCTTATTTGATGTATCTACCCCTAAAATCTACTGACTCTGTGAACCCAATACCGTTGCGACCTAGGCTACCGCCGTGCCCTCCGACTGGCCGTCTCTCTTGAACTGGACGTTCAGATATGGGCATGTGATCCAGTTGCGGACATAGGCGCAGTTCTGGATCTGGAAGCGATACCTCGGATTGAATCACCAGGAAAAGGCATGACCTTCCGACTCTTTACCTGTAACTAGGTCAATAACCTTGAAAATGGAGCTTAGGCCAGCCCCTGAAGAACCAGACTCGTGCCTCGAGGACCACAAAAAACTGTCGGACGCCGACACCACGTGGCAAATTCCTAGAAACCAGCATTGGTTTCATATCTATCATTAGAGAAAAGCCTCGGTCCATGCCAGCATGCCGCAAGACCCCTCATGGCCCTTCTGGACAGTAGCTCGACTCACGGTCTACGTCCCTGATGAGCCTCATGTAGCGTCACTGATGCCATACTAAGAACCTCTCCTGGCTCGATCGGTCGGATAAGACGTCAGATATCGGGATCTAGCTTATTTTGCAGGATAGTAATCCAACCATCCCATTTCTCGGGGCCGGTCAGGATAACATAAGCCTTCCTGCCATGGTCGCGCGGTCGGAAGCATCGTGTGTTGCGTTGGGCGGCAGCGTGGTCTCACCGCCAAGAATATCGTGAGTATAGTGATTGAGTGTGCTAAATAGCATCAATTTGTTATTTAGGCATAGTTGCCCTGCTTAGTTAGGCTGCGATCTGCTTGATTGGAGTTTCGGTCATAAGACGGATCAGGATTCAGGATCGTCTGAAGATGACTGGAAGTAGTCTCTTGGTGAATATAAGCTCAAATGTATCGCTCTCTTTCAGATCCCACCAGCAATTCTGTAATCTCGTCCACCATGATCAAACACAAGCTTTTCCAAGACTGACTAGTCGTGTACTACCCCGGAGATCCAGCCCCATCCGCTGGGCTGCTCCATCTCAATCGGCCGACCGCCCGCCCGAACGCCCGCCCGGTTCACCAACTACGCGTAATCAGGCGGACCAAACACTTAGAGTCACACTCATTTGGCGGAGCAATCTCTTGATGGGCATCGGAAGGAATATGTGACGGCATGTCCGCCAAATCAGGGTCCTGTCAGGGCGAAACGCGCGCTAAGAATTTCGCCGACTGGGCACTTGGACAGGTCACCTGCCAAGAGTGCCTGTCTACTCAATGTGGGAGGAGAAGCCTGAAGGATGCATGTGGCCTGTCGGCTGATGTTCGAGATGCAGAAATTATCCATGAAAGACCCCATGCTGTGATTGGGGGTGACCAACTGCTACGTTTCAACTACTTGACGAAATGAGTGGCAGCGTCCGCTGTCCACTCAGAGCCCGGACCTGGTCAACCTGCGCTGCCGCACCACATGCATTACGCTATTTATCTCACGCGCATTGCTTGTGTTTATAAACGTGCGCAAAGCCGGGTTTGGTTTCCCATTTTGTTGGAGATGCGTATTAGGCTCCCTGATTCAGGTCCCGAGAGAGAAGTGACACTGGCTGACTCCTTGTCTGGACCCCTGAAAAGGGCTGCCGTTCGTCACGCACCCAGCGCTTAAGAACTGTCTGGAAATTACATGTAGCATGGTTCGGCATATTCCTCGGCGAGATTTTTGAAAGTTTTCCATCGTGATGTCGATACTGGACGGTTGCTTTATCCGCTCTTCCTTCGAGAACCCAGTGCCAGCCTGAGGGTAGAGTCGCAGCTGACAGTCGAGGCAGGCCATACTAGCTACGGACTTGCCAGAGCAACAAGGATGCTTGCTGCATGCAACCCTGACAGAGGAACATGACTGCCCCTGACAATTGCCAGATGCGGAGTAGTTCATGCGCGTGCTCAGAGCAGTGACAATGACCCTGCCTTGAGGAGATCATCTGCCATGGTCGAGATGATGTGGTGGCACAGATCTCGTTCTCGACCCTGGCCTCTCAACCCATGACAATAATCTGTTAGAGGTTGCCTTGAGCCGGTCACCTTCTCGTTCGTTGCAACGCTGCGATGCCCACGGGTCGGTGGTATAAGTCGACATGGTTCGAGGGCCGAGCACCCGACCTTCCCAACATGAAAGCCGAAAACACCAGGAGGACAGGGCTGCTCATATTTCCCAGCAATTTGCCCATGGTGATCCAGTATATAAACCCACGCAGACGCCGATCCCTCGGCATATCTTCAGTTGATCACCAACTACAGACACTGAACAGCCACTCTTTTCCCTAGTGGCTCTGGAAGCCACAGTGCCTTCTTTACCCAACACCTTGTATATATATATCCCATGCATACCCCACATACAATGACTCTCCGCCTCCTTACTACACTCCTTTCGCTCTCGGCACTTGCCACAGCCTGGGAAGCCCCTCGGTATGGTGGCTTCAGCAGAGTGTGGCAGGAGACCTTTCCCGGGGCCGCTAGCAACCTGCCCAACGAGGGTACCTGGACAATCCTGAACGGTGACCTGGGCGTCAACAATGAGCTCCAGGTCTACAAGCGCGATTCTCGCAACGTCCAAATCAGCGGTGGCGGCACCCTGCAACTTGTCCCCTGGCGGGATGGCTCGCAACCCAAGGGCTGGACCTCGGGCCGCATGGAGAGCAAGTACACCTTCACCCCTGAGGCTGGACGCTTGACGCGCGTTGAGGCTGCCATCATGTTTGGCCCAAGCCCAATAGGCAACAAGCAGGGTATCTGGCCTGCTTTTTGGCTGCTCGGAAACTCAATCCGTCACGGTACGCCTTGGCCTGCTTGTGGTGAGCTTGACATTATGGAGACCGTCAACGGCCAGCTCATCGGGCACGGCACGGTCCACTGCAATGTCTACCCCGGAGGCATCTGCAACGAGGGCAACGGAATCGGCAGCAGCATCGGTTTCCCAGACCAAGGCTGGCACACTTGGCGCCTCGAGATTGACCGCCGCAGTGGCAACTACCTGGACCAGTCCATCAACTGGTACCTGGATGGTGTCCACTTCCACCAAGTCACCGGTAGACGCATTGGCAACGCCCAGGTCTGGGCGTCCCTTGCACAGAGTCCCCTGTTCTTTATCCTGAACGTGGCTGTGGGTGGTAATTGGGTAAGTCAGCGAGGTCGCCTAGGAGTGCCAGGACTAAGTACTGACTTGACGTAGCCCGGATATCCAAACGGCAACACCTGGGACGGCTATGGCTCTCGGATGGAGGTTGGCTACGTTGCCCACTATGTTGGTTGAATGTGTTCTCCAACATCTGGACACGGACGGGCCCAGAGCCCTTTTCTTTTTCGATTTCCCCGTATATACTTGATCAGTGATGTAAATATGAGTGCAGGAACAGCCTGATTCCCTATTGTCTTTTGCCGTTTCAGAGTTTGCGAAAGCACCGTCGGTATCTCAAACCTGATGATATTGATCTATTGTTTGTCAATGATACCTTTCTGTCTAGCATGTGTAATAGGCTGGCTGTGCTTGCGCTATAGTGAATTTTGCAAGTGTCTGATTTCTGCCACTGCTTGCTGGTGCGTAGCTTCCTGTAGGTCGAACATTCCTTGTAATTTATCGACGAGGAAACGCGGCGCTGAAGTCTTTTTGCCTTGCCGGTAGTCGTATACGACAATGTCCTCAAAGCATCGTGCTGCGGGCCTTTGATGATTGTGCGAGAGAATCACAACCTCAAGCTTGATACTAGTCAAGTCGTCGCTCGGCCTCTCGAGTAGTTTGTGCAGAACGGTGACCGTGTCGGGATACACGATGGGCTAGTTGCCGTATCAGGTCAAGGGCCGAGCTGTGGCTTTGCTTCCAAACTCACCAGTTTGTAGTCTGTTCTGATGCTCTTCAAGATCAACCCAACTCCCTTTGGTGCCCAGAGGCCTTCCCACG